ATTCAATTGGTTTAAAAAATATCAAGCAATTTTTTATCGTTTTAAAATATCATCATAGATGGCGATACTAAATTTAAATTGTACACGGTTTTGCCGTGGTAAAAATTTATAATACAATATGAATTGAACGCCATCTATTAACTTATTTACAAACTATTCTAATCTAAGCTCTAAGCTCTTACTAAGAGAAAATCTAACTAGAGCCTATCTAATCAAAATATTTTAATTATTTGACAAAATTTTTTACAACGAGTTTAATTTTCACAGATAGCAATACGATATAAAAATATACATAAACTTCTTATTAAAATTTTACTGCATGGACTTTTACTTTAACTTCTTAATAAAATTAATTTTAAAAAGTCTTTATACAATAAACTTGAAATTTTATAATTATGGAAGACGAAAATAAAAATTTTTTCATACATATAAATATATATATACATATTATAACTGTATAGCAAATTTTTAATGAAAGAAAGAAAAGGAAAAAGCTAATTCTTAAGGAAAAAATTTCAATGACAAAAAAAGATAATAAAAATGAATATAAGAAACAATATTAGTAATATTTACTGCTTAAAATTACATTTCTGTTTAAATTTCAAAGTTTATTTCAGAGTGTCTCATAATTTTGCTTTTTAGAAATTTTATTCGAAAATACTTAAGCAAAAATCAATTGTAAAAATCGTTTAAACGTTTGAATAGATTTATTAAAAAACTAATCATATATTTGTATTTTTTTAAATATTTTATTATTGAGTAAAAAACAGTCTGGATAAAAACAACTTTTCCCACATGGTTTTTAAATTATAAAATAATTTTAAGAAATTTAACCCATTGTACATTTAAAACTTTTAAAATGTTTTCCTCATTTGTTTGAAGAATTTTTAACTTTTTTTCTAAATTACATCTTAACATAGTGTTAAAAGAATTCTCAATTCAATAACAATAATTGTATTTATTCAATTTTAGTCAATTTAAAAGTATATTTGTAAAATAAATTAATTAATTTAGATGTTAAAAGTAAGCTTTTATGGGGAGAAAATGAATTCTATTTACATTCGAAAATTATCACGTTTTTCAAAGGTAAAACCTAAATAAAACCTATTTTATCTCCATTTCAAAAAAGAAAACAAAAAAAAATGTAAAATAATGCTTCGAATGAAATTATTTTTCAAGTATTATAAGATAATCGTAAATGGTCGAGATTTGTAAGTTAGCCAATGCTATCTTGTAAATTAATTATTAAATCTCAAAATGTATTTTCGCTGCTTAAGCCCATCGTTTTGTTTGATTTGTGTCGTATTGACCCACAGATTATTGAAATTACAAGCAATCATATATTTTAATTTTTATAAGAAACAAAAATCTTTCCTTTTTTTTTTCATTTCCCTTTTTTATATATTTATTGTCACGTCTATTGAACAGATTGGTGAATGGAAAAACTTGTCCAAACCTCCAAAAGACTTATCCAAAAAGACTTTTTTCTCGAAGATAATTTCCATGTATTAAAAAGCAATTTTGATTATTTTCTTTCATTAATAATTTAAAATCATTCATTGTTATTTTATTCAATAAAAACGAACACACTTTAAAATGTTATAAAGAAATTATTTTTTACCTTATTTTACTACAACAAACATTGTGACAGTGACTATGAATAAATTTCTTAGTAATTTTCCTTGCTATGAACTACACCTAAATTTCTTAGTAATTTTCCTTGCTATAAATTTCTTAGTAATTTTCCTTGCTACAATATTCATAATAATATAGGGGGGAAATTTTTTTTTTTTTTTTTTTTGGCATCCATTTTTTTAATTTTTTGAAATTTTAAGTTAGGGTAAATCCAAGACCTTTCCATAGGAATTTAACAATATGTTGTTGTTTTTTTTGCACTAAAAAACACAAATAAGTAAAAATGCAAAAGTTGATTTTTTTTTTAACTTTTTGTATTATCTGAAACTATTTAACCGATATTCTTTAAATGCTGTATATTTTCTTTTAAAACTATGTTCGTTACGAAAATTTAAAAGGTTTACACCTTACAATTAAACCCTTTTTATCACTTTTAAATTAAGCAATAGAATATAGAATTCATGAAATTATTATTATGAAATTATTATTATTATTATTATCATGAAATTATTATTATTATTATCATGAAATTATTATTATAATCTATACATTTATAAATGCTCCTGAATATTTTTTGATTCGAACCACTGATCTTTCGACCGACCTCTTCACTTAACTATTTTTAATATTGAGACTACCCCTCTATTATCCGGATCAAGAATCTGAAACCATGGGGAAAATGTCCTATTATTTAAAATAGTACATTCTCAAGACTGCTTTCATAACTATTAATTCGAAATAACTAAATTATTTGTGCTTCGAGAGTCATTACTCTGTCATTAGAGAGTCATTGCCTTTAGAACTCGATCATTCGGCTCAAAAATTTTACTTTAAAATAAGGAATTCAGGGTGATACCACGTTTTTCTTTTCTTTTGTCATTTTTATTTTGATAGTATATCCCAATATATCTAAAAGGCAAAGTCCTCAATCACTGATTGACTGGCTTATTGCTGATTCTATAACTTACAAAACTATAATTTTTGTTCCTTATGAGATAAATAGAAAGACTGTAAGAGTTTGTTTCGATATTCTGTAAGGGATATATATGATCTTTGACTATATATAATAAATAAGGAAAATTAGGAGACAATCAGATTAATTGGCAGAAATGCTAAATAACTTGTGCATGTTGCAGTCATTGATTATACTGGAGTTTCCCAAAAATATGATCTTCCATATTTTAATATGAAACCAGTCTCGCATTGATGACACCTTTCAGAAAGATATAAAAATTCGAAGAATGTCCATACTCAACTAGAGGGTAATTTTTAGACCTCGGACGAGTTGCATGTTTTTGGTCAAATCAGATTGTTTTTAAAAAAAAAATTTATAAATGTTTTGAGAAATATATTTATGTTTTTGAAAAATATGGCTCCTATATTTTAAAATAGGCCAGTTTTCAATAAATCAACTAAGCAAAAAAAAAAAAAAAAAAAAAAAAAAAAAAAAAAAAAAAAAAAAAATTAAAATTTGCAAAATATTTATCTTTGTGGTATTATCCTGGACGTCGTGTGTTTCAAAATAAGATTTTTAGAAGTGTGTTATAGAACTATTTATATTGCTTTTTTTGAAAACATGACGCCTTTATTTTAATACGAAACCAGTTTCAAAATAACATTGTAGTCTACGGTGCAGAAAAATACATAATACGTAAAATATCAGAGGACCATTCTCAAATTTGAGGCATCCCATTGAGGAGAAAAATTATTATTTATAGTTTATTCACACTATTGCAGATTGTCACGTACCAAGAAAAGAAAAAAAAATACTTGAGTACGCTGTAGGTAAATTTAATATCGAAGCCTTCTGATAAGCAAAGGTCATTTAAAATTGCTTTCTAATGTCATTGGCACACGTTACAACTACATATGAATCTCTAATTAGACATTGTTCTTGTGGTACGTCATTCAGACTCAACTTATTGCTGACTTTTCTCTTTAACCTGGGCCTGATACGATTTACCCGGATTACGAAAATTATTTTTCAATCTCATTTTGTAATTTTTCACAGCTTAGATTTATTGGATTAGCACATTTATTGGATTAGCACATTAGTAATTTAATGCTTTTGATTTATGGTGATGGATTCTTGGGATTAAGGGCAGCTATGACAGTTCAGCGAAGAGAAAAGTTTTCTTTAAAAAATGAAAAAAGATAGCAAGTTAAAGAACTTCTTTGAAACACATGAAAGGCAAAACAGTAAAATGAACAAACCCCATGCTTCTGATGACTGAGTAACATACGATAGATTAATAGATAGTATTGATATTTTTTTAGAAAATTTCCAGAATATTTCTATTGAGTTGAAATAATCAGGGACCGATCAAGACAAATTCAGGCCCGCCCACAAAATTTTCGGGGTCCCTAACAAAATATTTTGAAATTAAGTTTCTGAAGAGTAGTCCTAACTATAAAAAGAATCTACGGAAGTGGCATGATTCAAGAGAAACATTCTAAAAAAAAGTAGACAATTGAAGATTACTTTTCTAAAATAAAGTTTAAACATGTAATTATTAAAGCGAAATATATAACAACACAACAATGCTGTAAAAATTAAAAATAGTTTTGTGACCACAAACAATTGAAATTAGTGATTTTTGCTAAAGTCACTGATTAGCTTAATTATTTTAAAGATTGCAGCCTTTCATCTACAGCTTTACATATTTGTTAAGTTCTTGTTGACACTAATCATTTATAAGAAACTTTGCGAATATGCATTTTCGTTGCATTTGCTTAAGCCGTTGGAGTAAAAATTGCATCAATTAAAATTCAGCTGTACTTTCGAAATTGATTAGTGCAATGTTTACACGAGTTTGGTTTATCACAATATAAAGAAAATTTGAAATAAAAATGCCTTTTTTGAGATTAAACTGTTTCGTTCAGTAATTTTTTAAATGTAATATTGTGGACTTTTTACTAATTTTTAAGGCCCCCCAGAAAGTGTATTCCCAAAGCCCGTGCCTAGGCGATAAGCAGGCCCTGGAAATAATGGGATACTGGATCGGAGATTGGTCATGCTCTGGTTTTGATCGAAATTACTCTCTGAAGATGGATGGATGGTGTGTAAATGTGTCCTCCCTGTAAATTGGGTTGTGACTTATGCATGTTGTCTCCGGGATTGTACAGCTCTAGTGCGACGTAAAAGTACCGAGTACTTTGCCTTCAAAAAGTAACAAAAAAGTTTTCGTAGGTTGCATTTGACCCGAACTTTCAAAATTTAGGACGGAAAACACCGGAAGAATTGGAATGGTATCTTAAATCAGTATAAACAAAGATAGTTTAAAAATTAAAACTGAAAACTCCGTTTAATCCGTTGAAACTTAATAAAGTTTTCGACCCAAGGAGAAACTGAGCCTACAACTCAACTCAGCTCGTAGTGTATTGTGAATGAAAGTAGTATGAACTTGTGGAACTGGCATTGAGAGCAGTAAAGTCTGTTACCGCGAAAGCTATTAATGTGTTTTTAGTTGAATTTTAATTATAACATTATTAAAAAAATCTAAATAGACTTTGACTGCATAAATCTTTCTAATAGAGTATTTAATTCTGTCTATGATTTTGAAATTTTACCGGCTACGATCACTTTTGTGAAGTAATCTTTGTTTCTGTCGTTGCGGCTGGCTAGTTTTTTTGATTTTAGCTAGCACACAAAACTGTTAATGGAACCTACGAGTCTACCATTCGACTTTCTCGTTCTGTGATCTAATATTTCTTTGTGTTTTTTGTTTCTTTAATTTTTCAACATTATGCCTTTGTGTGAGCGAAAACCATTTAAAAGGATTAAACCTCCTAAAGATTTACGTCCAAATGAAGAATTATTTTACATTGCAACAACTCAAGAAGTATTTAGAAATTACAAGTAAGAGTTCATTTTATTTGACCTACGTCATATATCTGATGTACGCATTGTGTTTTATAATTGTTGATGTCAAATTTTTATCACAATGTTTAAAAATCAAGGATGTTTGACAGTTTAATATTGTAAATTTCATAGTAATTTACTGCTTTTAACCATGTTGGGTACCTACTGATAAATTCAGTTGTAGTTTTTACTAGGCTTAACGATTCCGACATATAAATTGACTTATTTGGGCGATGTGTTGTTTTCAAATTATGTAACATCGGTTTAAAAACAAGCGAAATATTTAACATTTTAGTGTTATTAAAAATGCATTACCAATTAAAAAAGTTTATAAATAGTGATTTTTTACGCCAAGTGTAGCAATATTTTTTTTCGCTATTATCGCAATTTTAAATGATCGATTCTAATTTGTTTGAATCTTATGTAAATAATAATTTGGCATGTTTCAGTTTATAATTTAAAGCTCTTATGCAATTTATAATATAAATTTATATGTTAAACTTTTTTAAAAATTTTTTTTTTAAATTGAGTGATAGTAATGAAGTAAAAATTTTCATTACAAATCATCATATTTTTGAAATTTTTTTTCAAATTTCTATTTGTCAATGTAAATTATAAATTTTTTTAATTAAATTTAAAATAATTGAGAAAAAAGCCAAAAGGAAATATTATACAGTTAACGCTACAGAATTATTTAAATGACACATTCTGTTTAAGTCCCGTAATAATATTTCGTGGACTAATTTAATAGAATATTTTTGAAATCTATAAGATTTACATATGTTACAAACTGTCATGTTATATGTCCTATGTAATAAGAAGAATTGTCTTATCAATATGTTCTTATAAATAAATGTATCACTAATGTTTCCAATTTTATATGTATAGTTGTTACACATCTCATTTTATTTATGTGTTGCATTCTTTTTTTACGAAACTCTTTCAGTAGAGCAGTAGTTCACAATTAAGTTTATATCCTATTAATAATACCTAATAATTAATGGTTAAAAGTGTTGGTATTTTAAATTAACTATGTTATTCATGTAATAATGTACCCAATATATATATATATATACACCCAAGATCTCAATCCTTGCTAACTTCTAATATTCATGAATCATTATTAATAATGTTAAAATTTATTAAGGCTTTCTTTAATAATATTTTTTTTAATTAGTCTCGAATATTGCAATTTCAATCTTGGCTTCCTTAGCAAAGTTCAGTTTCTTTTTCGACAGATCCTTGTTATAAGGAAGAAAGTTCAAATCCTTTCATAGTTATATTAATTTATGTTTGGTGGGTGTCTGTACACAATTTTTTTCTTTTATAGAATATATTTATCATCAAGCAGATAAAATACTTTTCTTGTGATAGAATTTTTATTCAATCAATACAGCATTATAATTTGAATTAATCACATGAATTAATTTATCCTTACATTAATCAAATTTATTACTTAATTTATTTTTGCATGCATCATTAATATGCATTTTTTACATCCTATTTTATTTGGCTAGTTTGTAATAATAGTGAGTCTTCATTTTGTTCATTTTTTGATGGAAGTATTTAATTATTTAAGTCTTAAACACCTAAATTCAATTTTAAATATTTAAAGTTACTAATGGAAATGATTAAAATGTAAATCATTATGAAATTAATTTTATTAAATTACAAGCTTTTTATCATAAAAGAGTCAGTGTTAATATAATTTGTTAAGTCAGTGTGTCAATGTTTGCTATATAAGATGTTCATAAGTAATAGGTGTAAGGTTTAGGTTAGGTTAAAAAAATCTAAACAGTTAAAATGTTTAGGTTATTTTTTTGAGCAGACATATTTTTTTGAAGTTATAATTTTACTGTGTTCCTTTGATATTATTGAGATAATTTTTTTATTTAATCTTTCTCATTAGGTCTAGAAATGTAAGGGATAGTGTTTTTGCGGGATAAAGAATGGTTTCCAAATGGCAAAAATTTGTTTTGAAAAAATAAATTCATATTTTCCATACAGTATAAAAAAGTTAAGTCATTGTTGGAAATAATAAAAACTTAGCTATTAGAGTTTTTCTCTTTACCCCACACCAATAATCTAGCTGTCTCTTAAAAATATTTAATATAAACAAAAAACTGAAAAACAGCTTTAAAAAAGTTTAAAAAAAGTAAATTAAGAAAAAAAGAGGTATAAAAAAATCCTCTTAGTTCTTAAAACTCTAGAGCCATGTAATTTTCCAATCCAGAAGACAAGAAAGCTTCTGGATCAAGTATTGGGAGAAATGTGCTTTCGTGGAGTACTTTTTTTGGCAGTTCCCTGCATTTGTGTTACATAGAGGAAAACTGCCCATGGTTATCTTGATGGCAAGGGAACACTTACCTATGATCCGTCATCTACCACTGACAATATTTTGTATCAGCACTCTGGTCGGTGCGAGCCGGATGCCGAATTATAATCGACCCGCCATTCCTGGGATTTAAACCCGATTCACCTCATTGGAAGGCGAACATTCTATTCTCTGAGCCACCATGGCTCTAAAATTAATGTTTTCCAGGAAAAAAAGCATTGGTAAAACGTTAAGAGATATAGTTTATCAGAAACGGATTTTAAAAATTTAACTCTAACATAGAAAGGCCCATAAAAAAATGTCATATACAAAGGCAAAACAGAAAAAGTAAAAACTGATCTCTTAATTTTTTTGAGCTATAAAAATTATTAGCTAGGCATCTCAGTTTTCAAATCACAATATTTTCCAGAAAAAGTGAATTAAAAAAGATAAAATCTAATAGAAAAACTCTTAATAGCCATGTCATAATAAAAACGTAGATAAGATGATTGATAGAAACTGAAACAAAAATTGTTCTTAATTTTTAAACTGAAAATTTAATGCTAAAAATCTCAATTTAACTTATTCACATTGTCATATTTTTGGAAAAGAGTTATGATAAAAGAATAACATCGTTCATTAAAAAAACTCTTTAAAAAATGCTGTCATAATAAAAACTCTGTTAAAAGGATAAGTTAATTTAACAAAAAGTAAAAGAGAAACCGAAAAAAATGTTCTTAGTTCTTTAAATATGACTTCAATGTTGAAAATCACAGTTTCATTTGTTATCGCCTATTTGTCTTACTATACTGGAATAAAGGAATTATCTATTCGAAACATTCCGTTTAAATGGTGCACTGTAATAAAAACAAAAAAAAAACCTTCTTAATTCTTAAAACAAAAAGTGTTGAAAAAATAGCAAAATTGATTTGTCTGAATATAATAATAAAAAAAAAAAAATCAGCAGTACAACACACATGGTTCAGTATTCAGGTATAAACAAGGTTCAAAACTGGCTCAATAGTTTCAGTTCTTCAAATTATGCTTTTCCATTTGTCTTTCAGAACATTAATTTACAAGTTTTAGAAAGCAAATATGTGTGAATACTATTTCTTATAATGTATAGTAAAAAATACAGTTTTAGATTAATCTTTATTAAATCTATTCAAATTGCAAAAACAAAAAAAAAAATTCTTTTTTAAAGAATATTTTGCCAAATATTTGGCCAACAAAATATTCGGCCCTTTTGTCAAATACCGAAGAGTGGCATTCATTACATCCCTTATTAAGTCAAATTTTATTATGTTAGTTTTAATTATATATATATTTTTTTCTTATTTCAGTGATTTTTTTGAACGTGTAATTCATATTAACAGTCTGATATGGTCATGTTCAATGACTGGGAAGTCTGGTTTAACTTATCAAGAAGCCTTAGATTCTGAAGCTGAAGCGAGAGACAGTTTAAAATTATTTCCACATGCACTCAAGAAGCCATTACTGTATTTGGCTTCTCTGACGGAGCGAAAAAGGCTTAATGATCTGTGTGATGATGTGTTTAACTATGTTAAAGACAGATATTTCATTGGTGAAGAAGTCGAAGTTACAGTTAATGGTGTAAAGTAAGTTGTAAATTACATGTTAAAATATTTTACTATCTAATTATTTTAGAAACGGGTTTGTTGTTTGTCTGTAGGTGATTTTTGGATTGCTCTCCACGGAGCAAACCTTATTATAAAGATTTAACAGCAGACAAAGTGTTCAAGTTCAAGAATAAATAAATAAAATCATGCATAGAACAATTAGATAAACACAAAAAGAAATTACGTCTAAAGTATATATAAGATATATTACGTCTAAAGCAAGAATGAAATAAATATAAGCCTAAGTTTAACCAGAGTGGAGTATTTAGATTTACTATGGTTAAGTTTCATTACTGTGTGTGATAGTATTTTTGGCAAACGGAAATTGTTGGTCATTGCTACTTGCCAGAATTTTTTTCACTACAGGAGGGGCAGATGATTAGGCTATTACATAATATTGAAATAATTTGCGTAATGTTTTATTTAATTTCAAATTTTTTTTTTGACAAAGAAATTATAGCATTAAAATTGGAAAAGGCAGAAGCACTAATTTGATTGGGAAAAGTTTTTTTTTTTTCTTTTGCAAAGAAAATATTCTTTAATCAAAACATGTTTTCAAGTTTTTCTTAATGAAGAAATGTGAGTGGCAGAGATATTACAGGTTTTTCTTTTTTTAATCAGTTAAAATACTCATTGACTTTTTTTGTAAGAGTGATATTCTCATTAGAGGAGTGAAAAAATTAAATTTTAAATTACAGACTGACTTTAAAAGAAAAAAAAACATATTTGACATTTTTTGCAATAAAATGTTTTAATTTCCCTAAAATTTCTACAGGCATATTTTTTTCCATTTGCATCTTTTGTTTTTGCAGCATTATCAAATTTGAAATCACAAACATTTCCATTTTGTTCTTTAAATTCAGGTCCTTGCTTTGATATTTAAGTTATTATTTCTAACTGTTCCTCAGTCAATTTCTTTCATATTTTTTATACTGTTAGGAAATAAAAACCCTCTTTCATATTAAATTGTTTATAAGTGTGTTTCTTAGTTTAGATGTAGTGGGAGACGAGGGAAAATTCAACGAAGTTTCGAGAATGCACCATATTTTGCTTATTAATTTTTCTTTCATATACAGAGCCTGAAAACACACCTGGTTAGTTTTTAGGATTTACGATTTTCAATGCATAAAATATGCTTGTAGAGGAGTTAAATATATCTCTTGAGTAGTTTATATTCTTTAACAAAAAGAATTTTCTTTTGGAAAAAGATAAATACTTATTCATTTATATAAGTGGAATTTCTAGCAGCTCTTAAAAGCTAAAGTATTTTTTACATAGCCTATAACATTATCTCATAACTTATCTACAAGAATTAAAATTAATAAATCTTTTAAAGAACCAATTGGCCAGTTTCTAAGTAGCTGAACAAAGAATAAATTCACTAAAATTTGAAAAATGTTTTAAAAATTGTGGTTTTGGGCCCAATATGTTTCATGCTCAAAATGTATGATTTTTCATGCCTTCTCACCAAATTTGATAAAATCATAAATTTTGCGAATGAAATTGTGTTTTAGCGAATGAATCTATTTTCCACTGAAATGAAAAATATATATTCTCAAAATTAAAGTAATGGAACAAATGTTGCAAAAAGACTTAACAAAAAATATGGCTTAAAAAATTTAACTATTATTACTCTTATTATCACCACCTTTAAGTCTCTAGGTGAGAAACATTTTATGATGCCAACACCCCCAGTTTCAGTAAAAAAATTTATGAAGTAGGAAATTAAAAACAAAATATTACAAAAGAAAGTTAGTGGCATTATAATAAATAATACTTGAATAAAGTGGAATTGAATAATTGAATTGAACTATTTTTTATTGTTAAAATAACTTATTAACATTATGTTAATAAGTTATTTTAACAATAAAAAATAGTTTTGAATTTGTTCGGATTTGGATTTCTACTAAGTTTTTTTTAGGCTGCTGAAAGAGTTAATTATTTGAAAATTTGAGTATTTACAAAAGTGAAAAAAAAATACAAATCATAAAAGTTATTCATGTATTTTTATAAAAAAACTGGAGAGACAAGTACTTAATTTTAATTAAATTACTCCTTTTTTAGATTAATTTGAAACTCGTTCTTTTTTTTTTTTAATTAAAAAAAAGATTTATGCGAAATAATTTTTTTTATTAAAAAAAAACGCTTTGATTTTTTTTTTTAGTTTTTGTTAAAATATGTATTTTTTAAATAAGGTTATTTATTAAAATTTATGATCTTATTTGCGTTATGAACAAGACTATTTATGTCAAATTTAATTAAAATTACTTTTTATCTTTCTCAAATCGGTAATAGTTAAATATTTCTAGAAAGAAAAGTACATGTCAAAAAAAAACTTTCGACTAGAAATTTTTGTAATTATTAAGAGACTCGATAATTGAGTGTCTTATAAATAAGCATCCCTTCTTTTTTCTCTGTAAATCGAGATTTTCCTGCAACTTCTACAAATAAAATTACTTATTTTCTTTAACAATTCTATCGAAATCTAAAAGAAAATCTAGCAATTTTTCTACTCCCTGACTTTCCTTTCTTCGTTCTGACGTGACGTAATTCCTTTTCCGGTCAGGTGACCGCTTCAACCAATGAAATAACTTGGCGCGTAACTGTTCTCTTACTGCTGAAATTCCGTAAAATGGACATCAGCCGTTAGTGTTGTGTTATTGATTATTTGTATTTTTAGCATTACTTTTAAAAATAGTTTATGTAATTGGGTTTATTTTGTCAATATTTTTGTGTCATAATGGCACCAAATATAAACAATATGACTCCAAATGAAAGCAAGTCTCAAAAAACTGACGAGAAGCCTAAAATGGATACAAATCGACGAAAATCACAAAGATTTGACAACGCGGCTACAAAATGCCGTAAATTAACTGATATGTGGTGAGTTTTCTTTAAGATAACATAATTTAAGGGTTTTTTTTTGTTTAAAAAATTGTATGTATGTGTATTAAATTTTATTGATTATTGGAACCTTTTTTCAGGCATTTCCATAATTTTCATATTGCATTACTAATTAACAGTAGAATTTTGATTTAGGCATTAATTTCTAACGTTTCGGGTATTTTTTTTTAAACTATCAACATAATGTCATACTATTATACTAAAATAAATCTAAGGTTTGTTAATGCATATTTAACAAATGCTAAGATTTTTTTTTAGGAAAAATTTTGTCTATGACAGCTTTACTAAAGAGAAATTAAATTTAATTACATTCTGAAATGGAAATGTTTATTTTTGTGTAATGCACAATAAACTTTAGTGTATTGATTATTAAATTTTGAAAGCTAAGTTATTGTGGTGACGTTTTTTTCTATATGTATTTATTATTCATGTAGTATAAACATAGGCTTGACAAAATATTTTAAAATTAATGTTGTATATGGTTATGATTAATTGAGTCAGGAAATAAAAAACTTTTTTTTTTAAATGCCTGATTGGAGAAATTGATAATTATCTCCTAAGAATAAACAATTAGATCCTTATATTTTATAATCTCCAAGAGTTTGTTAAATGCTAAAGAAAAAGGGTTTTCAAGGATTAAAAATAATTAAAACTTCTCGTCAAGCTTTTATATTGCTTTACAGATTTTCGTATCGTGATGTGTTGAAGAATAATCAAGTTTTAGAACACACTCCTCTAAGCAAACCACTAAATGTTTTTATTTTCATTTTTTAAATTAGCTAGTATAAAATTCATTTGCCTTGGCAATTGTAGTTGGCTCAACAGATAACGGAAATATCCCCTTGCTTTAAATTGACATTATTTTGGCATTATTCTGGTCAAAAATTGATATTTTACTCAAATGCATTTACAATTTTCTTTTTTTTTTTTAAAAAGCCCAACACCTGTGTCTCAGATAAGTAATTTTTTCCTTCCGTGAAAGTCTACTAAACAGTTTCATCAGCTTATCAGAGTATCTAAATATAGTTTTTGTTTAGTTCTGTAAATGATTCTAGCTCTTCTGTTACTTAACTCTACAGTGAATTTTCATTTATTACTATAATAGGAATAAATAAAAAAGAGATAAGTTCTATATTCAATTGTTAAGAGAGGATGTTTAGCTAAAATTATTGCAGAATTAAGTTGAATCTTATGTTACAATTAATTTCATTCAAGGCAGATAAAGAATTTATAAACCTAGGTAATTATGATATTGTAAAGGATTTAATAATTTAAGAATGAAATTTGTCTAAATAAGGTTTTTCATTTCATCAACAAAAACAAAACAAACAAAAAACTGAATACAATCATTAAGCAACTTACTACTCCTTCTTCAATCTATTTAGTGATCATATCTCTTGACTATAATATTGTAGCTGCTTGTTAATATTATACTTATTTTTCACGTTTACATATTAATTATTACTATCTATTTGAGGAGATTTTATTTGCTTGAGATTTGTAAGATTTAATTTAGTTTCATACTAAATCTGTTCTCAGACACAGAATAAATATTGTTTCTGACTAGGTCTTGTTGCCTGTCTGTCTTCTCAAAATTATAGAACTTCGAGATTGTATGTCATGTGGAATTTCTAAATGATACACGCGAAATTCTTGCTTAAATGGGCATTAACATTATAGGAACATATTTGTGATAGAGGCATAAAAATGAGGTGATGCATACTTGAAAACGAGAGATGTGAGAATGGCAAATATAGGTTCAACTGTATTTTATTTATACCTAAATAGATTTAATGTCAAGACTTTTTTCATGGCATGTATAGTATTTAGTTGTCTTTTTAGTGAATGTAAAAAAAAAAGACTTCTTGCATGATTTATTTCAAATTTTGTTATATTATCTAATGACAGATCTCTTTAAATGTTACCCTACTTGTTCTATATGTGTGATTAATAGACTAAACTCTTTATTTTATCCAGGCGTAGCTGTGAAGTGACGCAAGTTATTCTTCCAGAGCGTGCTGTGAAAACTCCATCGAAAGCTGAAAACTCGTAAGTTATAACTCTTTATTTTTTTCTAAGTGGTGGCTGAATATATTTTTTTTGTCAGTATGCTAACTGCTTGATCTAGATTTAAATTTAGTCTTGTACAAGTCATTTTCTGAATTAATCTGGCTTTCCTAATTTCGAATTTAAAGTGATAAAAAGCCTGGCTGAAATGGTGCATTATTAACACTTGTCTAAGCTCTATTATTTAGGGTAGATATAATAATATTCTTAATTTATTATTTAAGAAAATAAAAAATTCTTATAAATATTTAAAGCTGAAAGTTTTGAGTTATTACTGAGTTTTTATGGGAATATCAAATTGTGGGAAAAAGAGAAATGAAATAGTTCGACTGTTAAGAAAAGTTGACAATATTTAAACAGTGTGGCACAAATTTATGCAATCATTGCCGCTGCACGAATTTATATATTACGAATTTATTTGATGATTTTTGATTTATATCACAAATTTATTTGTTTTATTATTGTTATCAGTTATTCATTGAAAAATGAGTCTCAGTCAATGAGTCTTTATTTGAATTCAAATTTTTTTTAATGACTTAGTATTTACTAGAAAGATGTAATTTTTTTTTAAAAAATTTTTTATATGGATTTGAATGATTGTTTTGAATTCTTAGAATCTTGTGTATATGCAATGTACCTGAGTTAGTAGCAGGGTTTGTTGATTTAAATCAGCTTGATTTAAATCATGATTTAAATCAAATGATTTTTTTAAAAAAATCATTGATTTAAATCAAAAAAAATTTTTTAGCTACATATATTGATTTTAAAAGTCAAAAAACAGTGTTTTAAATTTTTGATACTTTTATTATTTTCTTTTCTTAGTATTAAAATTTAATTTAAATAAATTGCTGCATTAATTAATTTTAGTTAATGAAATTACTTTTTTGGTGTGTGTTAAATTCCAACCTATTTGAAATTACATTTTTAAAAATATTTTGATTCTTGAGATTGAAAGTACAGATTAAAGTAAACATTTAATGCTGTCTTAATATAGACTTGCATAGCTGTAGAAAGTAATTAATAAACATGAATATTTTTCAAAAAATAATACAAATAATGTTAATTAAAATTCTACCTTTTGAATGAAAAAGCGTGAATTAAAATCTACATCATATTTTATAGGTGGAAAATGTGTATTTCTGAAGCTTGAGGTTATGTTAAAAAGAAATTACCCTAATATGCCAAAAACAGAAGGAAAAAAAAAAGAGGGCTGATGAATTCAAATGTATTTTTCCAAATATATTGTCATTCTTCCCTTTCAAACTCTTTCAAAGTCTATTTGATGCAGTAGGGTTATTAACTGGTATTTTTTTCTCATAATTTGTTTACAGTATCTTTGACATTATCAGATTTTCTGTAATGAAATTTTGTGAAAAAAAATTCCAATGAGTAGATAGATTTTCTAACTTTTTTTTTTAAGCTTAACTTATCCATTTTGATATAGAATTAAAAATGAATATTTTAATATAAAAATATATAGATTAAATGAGGCCTTAAGTGCCCAAGGCACGTAGAGGATAAGTAAGTAAGTAAGTATATAGATTAAATATTTATTTATTATTTGATGAATGACTACATTTATAAACACAGTCTGCTACATTTATTTTGTCATTTTAAAAATCAAGAGGAAAAAAAAAGAAATCACAATTTTAAATTAAAGTTATGGTTTGCTAACTGAAACTTTGTTTTAATAGTTAAAGTGCAGGGGTCTATCCAAGCCAAATTTACAACCGTTTAAGGGTACCTTTACAAATTCAACTTTAGGAAAAATGATAGAATAATCACACATAATACTTTTTCTTAAAATTTTATTTTTGTGTCTCGTAAGAAACGATAATTTTCGCAAAATAGGTACCTCTCAGAAAGACCCAGACAGACCTCTGAAGTATTCTTTAAATTCTCTTTTTAATCTAGTCTTTAAATTTTAATCATGCATTTCTTTTAAAACAGTTGCTATGCATTTAAAGCCATGTATTATAATGAAAAATTATTTTAGTTAGAGCTTCTAAAATATTGTTACAATATAGTTTTAATATTAAGTTAATTTGATTAAACATTTCTAATTTTTTTTAATCATAAATTAAAGTTCTTACAGTGTATTTGAATAAAAATCAAAAAAATCTGATTTAAATCAAAAAAATCCAATTTAAATCAAAAAAATCTGATTCTTTTGATTTTTTTAAAAAAAAATCAAAAAAATCACGAACCTTGGTTAGTAGCGAGCGAAGTGAGCTTGGTTTGCGAAGCAATTTTTCGGGGGTTGGCGAGCGTTAGCAAGCAGGGGGCGCAGCCCACTAGTTGTACCTATTCATTCCCAGTGATATCTAATTGTAGTAAGAAAGGTTAAAGTAGAAGAAAAGTTTATTCTCTGTTCCCTGATCTTCATTTTGCTTTGTGTTATTCATATAACTACAATATTAAAAATCCAAATTTTTATTTGAAAATTTTTTATTTTTATTTTAGTAAACCTCGTAAGCAAAAAGATATTGCTCCTTCTAAGATTAAATATGAGGTTGTTGATTATGGCTCAGGAAGAACTTCTGTCGTCAAAGCTGATAATTTAAGGTAGGTATAGAAATGTTTTTATTTATTTAAATTAATTCTGTTTTAAATGTGTAAAAAGCACATTTTTGAATCCTGCATATTTTTTCAGTCGACCTAAAGGGACTTTCACCAAACCCAAGAATAAATTATACCTTAAGCAGCAGACTCAACCCAAAGATGGCTCTTGGAAAGTAAAGGTAAAACTTTTTCTCTTTTATTCTGGAATTTTTAATACATTCAATTCTATATGTAGCAGTTTTGCATCACATCAGCAAATGGTTAATGTTTCAGCCAATGGTTAATGGTTCACATTCTATATGTAGCAGTTTTACATCACATCAGCTGATGCTAATGTGTTCATATTTTGTATCAATGTCCAACTCGAAGATTGTTTCTCCAGCGAATTTAGTGATTTTACTGTGCTCTTGAAACTGGGTCCATTCATATTTCCAGGTCCCTTTTTACTAAGAGCAGAACCCTATTTGAAATATGAATTTTCTACCTCTTTAAAGAAAAGCAATGGTGTAATTTGATACTTAGTATTTTAATTTCCTTCCTTAGTTATAAATAAAAAATTTTAATATATATATCTGTTGCCGTCAGAATCTAAAGTTTTTTAAATGTTAGGTTTTGCCGGTAAAACCTGACCTTTATGAAATTGGCTTAAACTTTAATGTGATCAAACATAAGAAATACGAAGCAACTTTAATATGTCCTAGGCTTAACTAGTGAAACCTAAAATTTTAGTAATTTTACTATTTTTGAAATTTTACAGTAATATGCAAAGTTGTTTGAAATTTTGCATGCATTATGCATCCTTGAGGACACTTCGTAACTTATTTTTCTCTGCCCCTCAACAATTTTCGGTGTATTTAATGTGCTATAGCACCTAAATGAAATCACTTGAATACACATGGAAAATTATGGGAAGATACAATTTCAAGAGATTTTATGATCGAAATACTCATCACCATTTGCACTATTGAAGGGGAACATTATTACTATTCCTATTATACACTTAAAAGTTTCTCTTCTTACAGGATGGAAGAACAGCAAAACTCATTATGTTACTTTTCAATCATCCCATTTTGAAGAGATCACATAATTAGAAAAATTAGAAAATCATCACTGTCTTTTTTAATAAATTCACTAGTTTCTGTATATAAACAATTTTAGCAAATTATTCAGAACAAGAACAAAAAAACAGTTATAATATTTGGTTTTATTAACTGTTAATCTGGTAGATAAAGAGACTCCAATTTTAGCATAAGCTATTTAAATAGATTTTCAAAGGTTGGGGTATTATGATTGTAAATTAGAAACAATATATAATTAATTGCTACACTTTTGAAAGTTTGTTCGAATTAATAGGCCAAGGGGGTTTCTGAACTTCTGATAGGAAAATCAAAAGTGAAATAGCTATTTTGGGATTAAAGAAAAGACAAATTAAAGCTGTTTTATCGAAAATAAGCATAACTCAAAGTCAAGCACGCACATCTAACCAAATACAATGCAGAGATGATTGTGCCAGATTTTTCGCTAACTACGATTCGGAAGTTTCCGGTTATCCAAGGTCCAGAAGTTTCAAGAAATCATCGATCACATTTATGAATAAAAATTCTTGTATATTTTATTTAAAAAATATTGGAACTAGAATTTATACTTGGCATCTTTTTCATTTGTAAATATTTTTTCTGGTAGAATAATAAATGTGATCAGAGATAAAAGTAGACTTATAAATAACTATTCATTTAAATTATGCAGTATTATATAATTTCTTTAGAATTTCATGTTTTGAAAATATCAATGATTTAAATTTATAAAGACATTAATTTTTTGAAAGGCATCATTAATGATTTTACTTAAGAAATTTTCAGGATTTTTGAGTTGGGCTCACAAACACCTGACAATGAAAATAGTCTATTTGAATAATTCGGTAAAAGATGCAAACTCCTTAAGACATAACAAAAGTATAGCAAGTATGTAATGGAATGCATTTTTATGTTAATGTTTTAGCTGTTGTATCTACTAAGAAAAGGGTTAGAGAATTAAACAGAAGTTTGAGAAATAAGTGGAGTAAAAAGCACCCAGCTTAATATTTTATATCAGCATATTACCAAGCTTTAGATTTTTGAAATTTTTGTTTTAGAGATATATTTTTAAAATTTTTACAGTTCAATGATTTTTAAGCGGCTATAAATTAACTTCAAGTGTAGAGCCCTTAATCAATTGTATTGAAATTAATTTTCTGGCTGCTTTTCTTTCATGTTAACCCATTTTTAGGGGGGAGGGACCCACAACTTATTGTTCAGGAAATGTTGGGATTATTGCTCATAGTTAAAAAGAACTATTTGACCTATTGAGATAAGCTTTGTATTCTTCTGTTTAGCTATTAAGGGCATTTAATGAAATGCAAAATGTTCAGGAAATGTTGGGATTATTGCTCATAGGTAAAAAGAACTATTTGACCTATTGAGATAAGCTTTGTATTCTTCTGTTTAGCTATTAAGGGCATTTAATGAAATGCAAGATGTTCAGGAAATGTTGGGATTATTGCTCATAGTTAAAAAGAACTATTTGACCTATTAAGCTTTGTATTCTTCTGTTTAGCTATTAAGGGTATTTAATGAAATGCAAAATATATTTTCCATTTTTAAAGCTGTTTATAAAATCTAATTTTTTTGTTATAAATTAGGATGCTGTAATGGCTAAGCAAGAGATAGAGGAGTTCAATTTCGAAGAAGTTCATTGCGGTCCTCTACCCAGTTATGTTAAAGAAAAATTAGTTCCAACTCCAAAAAAATCTCAACCAGCTCAAGAGAAGTCTCTTAAAGGTTCTGCAAAGAAAGCTGTCAATGATCAAACTGGTAAAGGAGTTTTTTCTAAAAATCTTTAATTGTTAAAAAAGAAAGATATATATATATATATTTCGGAATTTCAGGTAAGAAAACTGTACAAGGCAAATTAAATTTCAAGAAAGAGTCCGTTGAGGAGAAAAATAAAAACGTTCAGAAAGAAGCTCTGCTAGAAAAACAAAGAATTGCTGAGGAAAAGGAACGGCAAAAAAAGAGAGACCTTATTAAGAAACAAATCGAGGAAGAAAAAGAGAAACAAAGAACTGAAAAGATAAATGTGAGATATGATTTAATTGTAATTGCTTGATTTTTGAAGAATGGAACTGGTAATTTTATGCCTAAATGTTTTATTGAAATTGTAGGAACGACTCAAAAAGAAAGAAGAAAAGCGTATAATGGCTGAATATCTAAATTCTTGGAAAAAGCCCAGAGATGATTTGGAATGTGATGACTTAAAAGTAAGTATCTATTTTAATCAGGGTTGGCAAGTTTTTGACACATGACCGTTTTTACCGGTTTATACCATGGTTTTTACTGTCATGTCAAAAACGTCAAACTGTCAAAAACCCATAGTTTTGATAAAACTGTATTTTAATTTGAGTTTAACTGCTTATGATTTAAAATTAATTCATTTTGGGGCAATAAAATTAGAAAAAAAGTTGTTAATAGATATTTAAGAGCAGAGTTTTGCATTTTCCCAACATGATTATATCAAATCATACTATTTGAAGTAAAATATTAGGATACTAAACAAAATTTTCAACATTTCCAAGCATCATTTTGTTTGGCATATTACATTACTGAAGAATGTCTGCATTACTGAAGAATGTCTGCATTACTGAAGAATGTCTGAATGGTTCTGCAAAAAGCTGTACTGTAAAACTTGAAACATTTTTTAATCTATCGATATTTAAATTTATTAGGATTTACCAGTGCCAATGCCTGTTGATTGTGGTATTCCTCAGAAATGTGTTGGAGATTCATTAATGATTCTTGAATTTTTATCTACCTTTGAAAAACAGATATCTGTAAAAGATGTGTTTCCTCAAGGCTGTACAATAGGTAAGCAAATTTTGAAAAAACTAATTATATATACAATCATTTTTATCTCATTTTGTTTTTATTGAAATTGCTTATGAATTTGGTACATGTATATATTTTTAATTAGTTGTGAATTTGTGCCCAATATGCCTGGAAAATTTGTAATTTAAGTTGTATGTATGTTGATGCATATCTAAAGTGTGCAGATAATATGTATGTAGAGCTTGATCATATGTGGTGTAGAATAATATATAATGCATTAAAAAAAAGGATTCATAATAAAAAAAAAAAAAAAAAAAGGAACACCCTGCATAACCCTAATAATTTAACTTGTACTACGGCTAAAACTTAATAGTTTGCGAATGTGATGTTAAATATGATCAGGGGTCTGTTTAGAAGAAATTTGGGTCCGTTAACAGACCCTTCACAAAATATTTTAACTTAAAAACGGACCCTTCGCAAAATGATTTTTCTTTTAATCGGACCCTTCACAAATTTGTTTATCTTCATTATTATTTTGTTAATCGAATAAACCCTTTCCAGGGCAGAAAACGAGAAAGATGGATGTAAACGAATTAAGTTTTGTCTTCGGCAGACGATTCTTCCATTATTCGTCCGAAATGAATATTCTGCTTTCAGCAGTATAGGCTAAATACCAAACATTTGTATGTTGCATCTCTAATTTAGAAGCAGCAATTGTTGTTTATTTTTTAAAAGTTAATTTTTTTAATTATAATTTTACAGTGTTGAGCATAATCTTGTATGTCTTTACATTTTAAAAACTCCTTGAAAAAGTTTTTTTTTTGCAATAACGGATCCTATTTGTACAAATTCATAAAAGCGGACCCTGGTTGAAAGAATGTGAGTAATTTTTCACAATTTCACGAAAAACGGACCTTTCACAAAATGTCTGGACAGACCCCTGATGATTATTAATCATTGCATAAAATTTTATCAGAATATCTTGAATTTTAAATGTATGATTTAAAATTATTTTTCTCAGGAGCTACTTGACCGATTTTGTATTTTGCCATATAGAACTACATTATTTAGAAGTATGTAAAAGTGTGTATGTTTAACAATTAAAATTTTTTTATAGGATTATCTGGAATAATGATTTTTTTTTTTTAATTTAAATTTTTTTTTGATCTTTTTAAAATTAGTTTTCATAAGAGCTATTTTACCAAAATTGTTTGTGTTTTGCCATGTAAAATTTATTCTTCAAAAGTATCTGAAAATTTGTATATTTTACAGTTGAAAATTTTATTTTCTTGGTTATTAATTAATAAAATAATAAATCCAGTAAAAATTATTTTTTTCATTGAATTGTCTTTGGATAAACAAATTTTGTAAGCAAAAAGTTTTCCATTCACTTAAAAATTTTTTAGAGGTCTGCTGAAACACTATGCTAAATGTATGTAACATCTGATGTATTTGACATCTGTATTTAATGTATTTAACATCTGAACATACTATTAGGACCATATTTTAAGGGTTGTATCTACCCCCCCCCCCCCNCCCCCCCCCCCCCATATTTTGTAAACCAGAAATCCAAATCTGTCAAAAACAAGGTATGTTTTTCAGAGAGAATATGTTTTGCATCTGAATTAATAACTTTAAATTTCGTCTGTACTAATTAATTGGCATATTTGAGAACTCCCCTTAACAGAGAAAACCTGGAATTAGCAGTGTTTTTTTTTTAATTCTAAAAAGCAGAGAATAGACAGGGAAAATTGCATTTTTTATTTTCTTTTTACAAAAACCTGAAAATTCTTACATTATACCTGAAAATTAGCCATTCTTGGAATTTTCAGCAACAGTATTCAGTTATTTAGATTTGATATTCAAATAATTCTGACACCTATTTCAATTATTTATTGTTAAAATTTCACATTTTAGATTAACATTTCCATGTTTTCAGCCTTATTCAATGATATTTGTTTCTCTCTCAAAATCTACTGTTTGGCGTAACAAATTAAAAAAGTCAGTTTTCAAGTGAAAAATTGCATGGTATAGATAAAATCTGATCTGAATTTTCATTAAAAATGTTCTGAAATATCTTGAAAACTAAGGGAATTTATATCTGAAAATAATTGGGAACCATGATTTAGTCCTAGTACGTGATAATCTATCTGATTCTATCAAAAGTTATCAAGATTTTTTTTAAATTTTTTTTATTTTACTTTTATTTTTTTTATTTCACTGTACTATAATATATTTTGTCAAACAAATAATTCATATAGGTTAATGTTACTTTAGTCTAATTTAGTTAAAATTTATTATGGAATTTAAGAGCAAAAACAAGTCATTTCTTGCTAGTTCAGATTCTATATACAATACAGAACCCGTTATCCGGAAATCGGAAAACCAAAAAACCGGAACGAAATTCGATAAATTTTCCCGCCATTTTTTTTATTTTTTGAAAAATTTGTTTTTCAAAAAATTTGTTTCCTCATAAGATTTCAGAATTTTTCGTTCTTTTTTGAAAGATGTTTATCTTGCCATCATTTTGAAAATAATCATTAGAGTATTACTTAATCGGTTTTTCTTCTTTTTAAGATTATTTCCAAAAATTTATTTTTTTTAGTTGGGTTTAACAATAAAAAAAAAAACGTTTTTTTTGTTGCGATTCAGAAAACCGGAAAAATCAGTTATCCGGAATAGCGATGGTCCCGATCGTTCCGGATAATCGGTTCCCTACTGTATTACCAAAACTTAATATTGCAGTTATTTCTAATTATTGAGTGTTAGTAGATGGCTTTGTATTGACACCATTTAGCACTTGATGTAATTGTCACTTTAAAACCGTTATGATAATTGTGTTCAGATCTTTTAAACTTTTTACCAAGTTTTATTATTAAAACTTTTTTTATTATTAATTGCATTTTTGCAGTTACTCTTCTGACCTTAATAGTAAGAGCTATGTTACTTAATGATGGGCTATGGTTCTTGACACTAATTTTGAAATATGAGTTGATGATAATAATTTAAGTTTTGTAATAATAATTTAAGTTTTTTGAAGCATAACTTTAAATGTTGAAAAATAATGATACAAGTTTAAGCAAATGATATATGCTGCTTTTTATAAACTTTTATCAAAAATGCTTATTTTAATGCTTTTGTTTCAGAACACATAGAGAAAGCCCTTACAGAAACAGACATTCAAGGTGTTTTCAACGATTTGTTGCAACTTTTCCTTACTGCTATTTTTAAGTATCAAGAAGCTGATGATGATGTGATTGATTTTAAAGAAAAAGTATTTCAAGGTACTTTTGAAATGTATTTTATTTTTACTTATTGAGGTTTTTACCATAATATTTTTATTGTCAACTTTTATATAAAGATAAGTTAAGTATTAGTAAATTTGAGTAAACAAGCCCTAAAAGTTATCACCCTTTGTTTTTGTGCCAGACATAGCCTTTGGCATTCAAATTACTTAGCTAAATATATTTAATATTAATAATTATACTTAAATATAAAATGTCAACAGTTTTAAAGAAAGGTTTATTTCCTGTGGTTTTTCCTAAAAGGGGCAAAATCTTAGTCAACCATGCTAGAATCTTTTTAAATTATAAGAAGATATTCACAGTGAAGTCGGTGTTAGAATTTCATTGAATATCTATATTATGTTTCTTGCATTACTTTAATAGCTGTTACATAATTCTAATTTTATGTTTTGCAAATTTTTAAGGTTTAGACAATTTGACTTTGGATAAAGCAGCTGAAGTAGGATCTATCGTAATGAATTGGCCGCAAAAACAGCATGGTGAGTTATGATTTTGTATCTATTTGTTTTTACTAAACATTTATGAAGTTTGCTACTTAATGTGTTGGATCTAAACATATTTTCTGAGGCAGCGAAATCACGAAATCAAAAAGTCTGTCCATTTGCATTGGTGTCAGGTTGTAAGTTTTCTGCAAATTTACAAGAACCAATTTCATGTCCTATACAGGGCGGAAATAGTGTATCATCTTCAATAAGTCGTAAAGTAGATTTTTTTTTCATGTCATTCTTTTCTTTTGTTGGTCTGTGAATGCAAATCTAGGAGGTGTTGTATTTCCTCTGAAACTGATTTTACACAGCCTCACGCTTATGTATTAAAAATCAGTAATTGAATTTGTCTTGATAGTTGTCAGCAGTTCGTTTCTTCCATGATATTTTGTCCTGGCTATCTGGTTTCCTGGATTGCTTGAGTATCAATATCATAGTTGACAATTACATTATTCAGTCCTCAACCTTTAAACTGGGTGCAATATTTCAAGTGCCGATTCTGAATTCTTTTTCAATACCAAATTGGTTGGGTAAAGACAAGCCAGTTTTTGCACCTGGAAGTTTGAGCTAAGAGTTTTTTTTTTACAAGTGGAATAGTTCTTACCACACCAGACTTGTTAATGTATTGCAAATTAATTTAATAATGTAAATTAATTCATTTTTAGGGAATACATATATAGTATTTAAGTTTTTTTTAAAAAAATGAAAGTGTTTCCAAAAGATGTCGGATAGCGATAATGACACTCTAAAACAATATATTTGTTCCCCAAATATTGCAACTAAGTTTTACTGCATTTCTTTATTTTTGTGTTAAGCACTTACTAGATTTGATAATAACTATAAATTAGCAGTAATTTATTTAAGCTGAAACATATTTGTTCTTAAGTACATTTTTCTTAATTACTTTTATCATCTAATTGGTGTCAATTGAATTCAGGTACTCATTTGAGAAATATACCTCTTGATTCATTTTCCATCACTGAAATTTTGAGGTTACACATCCTTTCCTCTGGTGGAAAACCACGTGTCAATTGGCAAGGCATTGTTGGCAGAAGTGAAGATCCAGGATTATTCTTTAAAGTCGAAGAAACTGAGTTACTAAAGAAATTAGAATCATCTAGTGTATTTGATTTAGATTGTGGTAAGCCTCTTTAAGCTTTTGTTTCAATTAATTAATTTTGTTTAATGGTTATGTGTAAATTTTTTTTTCTCTTATCATTTATGCCTCTTATTTTAGCATGTTGTGGTTTAGGACAATTATTCAAAACTTTATTTAAGTTTCCAAATTTTGTAATAGTACCCTGAAAGTGGAATGATACGTGTATCACTTGTTTCTGAATTACATTTTTTTTTTTATTATAGAAGAGAAATGCAAGATTATAAATTTACTAATGAACCAGCTTTTGTGCACTGATGTACTTAAATATGCTATTGATGAAAATGCAGACAAAACAAGACCACTTAGACATCAGTTGAAACAACTTCGTTGGGCTTATTCTCGCAAGGAAAAAGATGTCTCTAGGTAAGATTTCACATTGTTGCATTTTTGTTAATAAAGTATTCAAATTGTGATGGTTATGTTTATATGTTTTAAATAACTTTTAAAGCTTTTTTTTTTGATGAGTAATTTCTCTTATTGAAATAAAAATTTTTTCCAGTAAAAAGAAACCACAAATTAAAGAAATCAAAGAAGGTGATAGTGAAGAGTAAGTTTCAAAATATTTTTATTATTATATCTCATTTACATTAGGTTATTTGAAGTGTCTTAATTCATGTTCAGTAGTGAAATGTACAGCAAAGGTTTAAATTTTGTGAATTTCAGCCTAAAAGTAATTTTTTAACAAATAATCCTTATAATTACTACAACTTATGGAAAAAAAATAGATCAATAACTTTTTAATTGTTATGCAACAGTATTCAAATTTTATCTTTCCTCATAGGTTCTGTTTGTTTAAATTAACATATTCCTGAAATTTTTTAGCAACAAATTAAAAAAATATTTTAAATGTTATTCACAATGTTTACAATAGCTTTTAAAAAAAAATTTATAAACCTCTTATTTATATTATTCTCCAACTTATCTTTCCAGTGTTATGAATTTTTATTTTCATGAACCACACGAAGATTTGACTATTAGTTTTTGGAAAAGGTGAAAAATACGATTATCAGTTACAGGGATGAACATAAATTTAGTGTTCGGTTTTTCAATTTTCCCTCGATTATGTTATGTCCTCTTCAGCAGAATTGCAGAAAGTATTCAAGTGGCCTAGAAAAGAGAGTTTTATCAATCAGGAAAAAACATGGATATGTCAGAAAATTTATCTAAAATACCTGAAAATAAATTAGTTTTAGGTACCTATTAGTACTTCTGACATTTTTTCTGAAAAAATTAGTCCTGTTATATTTAAAAAAAAATGTATATTTTCAATTCTATGTAAACATTTTATAATGTTAACATATAAGAATGAGGCATAACTGAATAATTAGTCATAAAATTTATTCAGACAGTTAAAAAATATCCAGAAATTATTATTTATGATTCACTGGGGATTTTAAATAAGGAGAAGTAGCTAATATAAGCTTTGTTTAAAATCTCTTTTTGTTTTCCTTATAAATTGATGTATTCTTAATTATTTAATTTATTGTAATTTAACTCTTGAATGTTATTAGCAGCCACCATGATTGTAGCTTAACTTGGATTTTTATGTATTTTAGGCCACAAGAAGTAACTCCTGTTCCTGTCGAAGAAGAGGAAAAAGAGAATGCTGATAATTTGTCACCTGAAGAAAAGGCTGAACTTGAAGAGAAGAAGGCTAAAGAGGCAGCTAAACAAAAAGCTGAATTTCAGCGCAAAGAAAGAGAAATTGAGCAACAGATTCGTAAGCTTCAGTCCTCTTTCAATGTGGCTCCTCTTGGGCGAGATCGGGCATATCGCAGATACTGGGTATTCCAAACTGTGCCTGGTATCTTTGTTGAAGATGATGATGATTTCAAAGGTTCCTGCCTTCCAAAATTAACAATTCAAAACCCGTATCCAAATGCAAACAATACAAAATCTGAAACATCAACAAATAGCATAAAAAAATATCTTCAAAATATTGAAACTAAAAGTGCAAGTAGTGACAAAGAAAATGAAATTCTGAGGGAGATAGCTATTGTGCAGAGTGAGTTTCCTTTCCCGACCAAAAATAGGAAACTCACAGATTTAAATCCTCGAGTGGATTTAAAGAAAGGCGCTACCAATGATATCATGACTGTCACTGAAGATGAAGGCTGTTTGTTGTGTAAAAATAAGGTTGATGTTCAAGGTGACATCAATTGGTATTGTCCACATTCAAAGAACAATTTACCTACAGATCAATGTAGTGCTAATATAGACACTTGTCCCGTTCACAACACTAATGCTCCTCGCATGAAATGGGCATTTTTTTATAAAGAGGAAGATATTGATGATTTAATTGGTAGTTTGAACTCTAGAGGGTTTAGAGAAAGATCTTTAAGAGAAGCACTTCTCAGTGAGAAAGAGCATCTAAAAGAAACTATTGCTAAATGCCCATATAACTCTTTTAATAAGATGCTCATTCCTGAGGTCAGGAAATCACAAAGATTACAGTATCAAAAATCTAGCTATGCAGATATGACCCCTCGACAAGCACTAGAATTGACTATTCGTGATATGATACTAGAATTAGAACATAGAATATCTGCTGGTGGACTTGGTTCTCTTAAGGTATTTATTGTGATTAAATACCAATTTTTTTTCTTGTGGCTGTTTCTGTAGCTTGAAAACATAAGTGAAACATTGAACAGCATTGTTCTTTATTTAAATAATTTGGTGGCTTTTGATCTAGAGTAAAATTTGGGATTCTAAAACCAATAATTTTTTGTTTCATGTTTTTATCTTCTCTCCCCCCAAAAAAGCGTATTTTGATTCCTTTAAATTTTAATTATTTTCTCATTTGTGTTGTTAATATTAAGTTGCTGTTTTCTCACTGTGTTTGGCTAGGATTCTAACATGTTGAAATAAGTTTTTTTTAAAGAAATAGTATTTAGTTATAAATTTTTTTAAAATTCTTTTAAGTTTAAAGAAGAGTTTCATTATATATAGACAGAAATTGACCGTTATTGTTAAAAACACTGAAATCTTAAATATATTAAAATGGGAGGAAAATTATTAAATACTTTATTTTTTTATTAATAATGTAATTTAAGGACATTCTCTAAATTAAATATATTTTATAGAATACAATATACTTGTATATTTCAATGCTCACTGTTTAGTAACAGATGTTATTCTATGTTTGCAGAAAACAAATTCTCTCATTAACTTTTTCATATGTTTTTCTATATTTTCTCTTCTCTTCTAACTATTATTTAGTGTTCATTCCTTAAATAATTATGCAGTTATATTAACTGCCATATTAGTAATGTTTGTCAATTTTTCATTTTAAGTTATTTTCAAATATTTAAGTTGTATAAATCGAAACTTAAATATATTAGATACCTTACATGTTGGATAAGTCATTCTAACATTTAGGATAAATCTTAATGTTCTTAAACAACAATTTTGAAAAAACATAATTTTTTTTTATTGAAATTATTTTTCTATTGATTCTTTGTAAATTCATATTAAATTTTATGACTATTTCTTTATTGACTTCAGGTTGGTTATTTTATTTAGCACAATATTTTCAAAAATTGATCATTTATTTTTAAAAAAATAATTAGATTTTTTTTATTTTTTAAACTCCTTGAAATAAGCTTGAATGATAATTTTAGTTGTTTCACTAATTGGGCTTCAATTACGATTTAGCTTTCAATTACGATTTTCTAACATCTAAGATTAAAAAAGATTGTACCTAAGACTAATATTAACATTAAGATTTTTTTCACTTAAAGGTAAAAATTGTAGTAGATAAGTAGAGCGCCGATTATCCGAACTGCTCGGAACTGAACATGGTTCGGATAATTGAAAAGTTGTTTAAAATCCAGTTTAAATGATTATTATTTTTGCACTCACTTTCCTTCACCCTTTTACTAGGCTTAGTACTGGCAGTACTATCTAAAATAGCTCTAGCTTGTTTAAAAGTTTTTTTTTTTTAATTTTTAAATATTTTTTATTTTTTTAAAATTTTTTTTTTCAGTTTGCAATAATTTTCATATTTTAGCTTCTAATAATTTTTTTGTCAATTACTGATTTTACCATACTTTTCTTTATTTTCCATTGCAAAAGAAATCCTGCAAAGACTTTTGTTTCAAAGAAGATGCTATTTTTTTAGCAGCCATGTATCCCTTATTCCTTTCAAATAAATTAACTGAACCGGATCAGCATCATTTTGACGTTCTAGCCAATTCATCGCAATATCTAATGAATTGCATACTTCTATATGAGAAGGTCCACTATCTTGAACTTGATTACCTACTTCTTCCTCTTCGCCTGTGGATTTTCATTCAAAATTTCAGCAACTATTTCATCTTCATTTGAAATTTGAAATCCTGTGTCGTTTTCAGTGTCTCAACACCAGTCTTCTATTTCTTCTGCTGTATAACCTTGCATCTTTTCATCCAGAAGATCTACTGGTTCAGAAACTGAAACTATAGTTTCGTTTGTTTTTTGATTCCAAGATTTAAGATTCTAAGCACTGTAATCACTAATCATTAACCATAAGTGACGACTATCTATCTCTCAATTGTAGAACTTCAGCACTTATTTATTTATAAACTCCTTTCGCAATCCAAAAATTGTAGACGGTCAAAATGAAGCTCGCATATTTGGAAGATAATTTTCAGTTGAAGAGGGCTAAAGGACTATGTAGGATTAACTGTATAAAAATACATGTATGTACATGTATCCCCTGTGGCAGAATTTTTTCTGGCTTTCTGCGACAAACCTAACTAGAACCAATATCTTTCTGCAAGATATTTTTATCGTTATAAATATATGTGTAATGAATTTATAATAATAGATGCACTTCATGTTTATAAAAAAGCCTACATGCATAGAGTAAAACTATGTAGATTTTTTTTTCTTCATGTCATAATATAAGTTTAAATTTCTTAATAAGTTTAACTGTGCATAATCTTCGATAATAAAGAAAAATTGTAAATGTATAGATCTGCAGACAAAAATGCTTACTAGAGCATAAATAAAGATAACCCAGAACCTGTAATAAGATAGAACTTATAAAAATAGCTAAGAATGGACAAAAAGATTAAATTTATAAAACAACATAATTGAATTTGAAGTATCAGCTTAAAACAGTATGATTTAATGATTCATTATAATAATTGTATCAGGTACAGAAACAAATCAGGTGAAAAAATTAATATTGAGGTTGAGTAATCAAAATCAAAATAATAAAATAATATTGACTATAACCGAATTCTAAAAGCAAAAAAATTAAAGCAATCTATTTCTATATGAAAACAATTAGATTCGATTAATTTTGTGCTGACTTATTGAAAAAATTTTATAAAAAAAAAAAGAAGGTAAATAAAACTTTTTTCGTGATCAGATTAAGTTCAGAAAGAAAAAAATACACTGCGCTTGCGATTTGTAACAGAAGTCTCACTGTATTGTGTAAATATATAGCATTGATTCCACACGAAGTACGCAGACGCGGTTTCCGACTCAATACGCTCAAGACTATTCAACATCTCGAAACGAAATCGGCTTCATCAGTGCTGAAACATCGGTATTAGAGCCATACTCATTGGATGCGATTTTTTTCACAAGCATATGGAAACCTATTTGAAAGTGTTTCGCCAGTAAATATTTTCCACCAATCTGGTTTTCATTCGCATGCCAAAAAATCGTAGATAGGGAGATATCTTAGGCTTTATTTCATTTATCGTTATATTGCAAGTGTTTTTTTTATATCGACGGCTTAATTCAAAAGATATAGGCATTTTATCATCCGTTTCATCCTTGCTATCAACATCGCTACTAGTAAGAATATTTGGTTTGAATCTAGAACGTTTTTTTTTTCTTCAATATTAGTAGCGTGGAAAGCTTCTTTCCTCTTTTCCTGTCGCTTTCTGACATCGCTAGATATTGTCATTTTCCATCTTATTTCTTCTTCGAAATGGGCCTTGAAAAATAAGTTCAAATTTTTTTTTATAATTATTGTTGCTTCACAAGAGCAACAAATAACCTTTTCACTAGACATTATTTTTTTAAAAAAGAAAAAATCTTTTTAGGCATGAAATTTTCCACATAAGTGCAAAAAATATAAAACGCTCTATTCTCGCAAGAAAACACAAAAAGCAAATTACTGCGCTAGCGATAAAGGCCGAAGTTGGCAAATGTCCCAAAAATAGCTTAATAAAGGGGAAAAAATTTCTCCCCTTTTATATCCAGTTACTGTTTGTGTCGGACACGGACTAGGGAGATTAACGGAGGATCACGAGTGCTTTCCCCTTCCACGGTACGCTAGAAAAACAATTATTTAAAAACAATTCTGTAAGAAAATAATTTTGAGGAACCATTATTGCTTCTGCAGAAATTTTCTGTTTCTGTCGAAATTATTTTTTTATAAAACAGTTTCTGTTTCTGCAGAATCTTTTTTGGGAACTTTTGTTTTTGCCAAACCCAAAAATTTTATTTCCCAAATTAGAAAATCTTTCTGCAAGAACTCAGTCCCTTTCTGCGACAATGTCGCTGTGTCGCCGTGTTTCTGCCACGGGGCATGTATCATACTACAATCATACATACATACAAAAATACATGTATCAGAAAGAAAAAAAAGGTTGTAAATTAAATATGGTCCTCAGATGTAGTGGGTATTATTTATTCTTCTAAATTAAAGAAGAATTGTCTCTAAGTTAAAATATTCCGGATAATCGGCATTCTACTGTATATTCTAGATATAGCATTTTTTTATTTAACTTTCAAGATATGTATAAAAATACCGGAATATTTTTTGTAAGATAAAAAAAATAGTTTTTCCAAATGTAATAAAAAGTCATTGAAAAATATAAATGATATATTAAAAGATTATTCCACAGACATGAATTTTATATTCGAATTTTAATTTAAGGTTTTATGTTTTTTAACTATATCAACTCATTATAAGACCTGAATTTGTCCTAAAGTGGTACAGTAGAACCTCGATTAACCGAGCTTCGATTAACCGAGGTTTCTGTTAGCCGAGGCAATAACGAAGTCTTAATTTTTTTTTCTCCTCTCCAAAATGAGCTTGGAAGAAATTATACACATATTAGTTCGTTGTCCGTGTTACAGGCATTTATTCCCCACAAAAGCACTCAACTTCCATGAAATATTACACCCTGAGAAGACAACATCCATGAATGCTTTGTTAACAGTGGTCATGTGACTTGTAAGTTTAATCATGTAAATTTTAAAAATACAATATTTTCTTGAGATTTGTGTTATTTTTGAAAATGTGTCTTTCGATATTTAACTAATTAATATTAAAAAAATTATTATTAAAAAAAATATATTAAAATTATTAAAAAAAATTCCATTTTACTTTTTAAAATTTACTACTAGAGTTGATTTCCTTTTTAAATCTTTTTAGCTGTGAAACATAAGTTCATATATGTTTATTTTTATCATTTAAAAAACACTCTATTGTTTTTTACTTTAAAAGTAGTTAAATTCGCAAGTACGGAAGATTTTTATTTTTTTATACATGGTTTCTATTAACCGAGGTTTCCGATATCCGAGGTACTAGCGGTCCCAATTAGCTCGGATAATCGAGGTCTTACTATAAATAATCCATCTTTCTATTCTACTCCCATTAAAATTTTTCTTTCATGAAACACCCAATTTGTAGTTGCCTAGTTAAGAAATTTTTTTATGTAACTATTTAGATTGAAAGTCCAGAAAGTTGGAGGACTGCTATTGAACAAGGAGCACTTCACCTTCAAATTGATAGAGCCAGCAAGGATAAAGACTGTGATGCGTAAGTAAAATTTTTCTTCTGTAATTTGCTCTGTGTTTTAATTTTATATTAAGTTTGAAATTTCTTTTAATATTCTGTAATTCATTTGTACCAGGTGTCTCAGCATGATATTTAAGTAAATAAATTTAGTAGATATATAAAATTTTTTTGTCCAATTTAACTTTCCCATTATTATATAATTATTCTATCTAACATATTATATCTAGTAGTTATATTATATATGTTATTCTATCTAATATTCTTTTCTTATCATTTTGTTATGATATATTCTATCATGCTGAACTTTTTTAACGCAACATGTTTCAGCAAGAGAACTATTTATATTAACTGGTATTAGTTTGTAATTCATTGATAGGTATTATCGTACTGCTTAACCAATTCAGCAGCATTTCACCTTTGTATAAAAAATGAATAAAAGTGTTCCTTAATTCCATGGAAGGAAAAGTGTCTACCCTTTGTTTACCATGGAAAGAACTACCCTTTTCTTTGTGAGAAAAACAATCCCTATTTTTCCCAAACTATGATTCGTAAAGCTTTCCTTCTAATTTATGTGTTAAGGAATGTCTGTTCGTGACGCAGTTCCTTTACAGCAATATCGATTAATAATACTTATGGGCAGTGTATTATAGTTAAATTAGCATTTCTTTATAGGAAATATTTTATTCTTTGTTTGTTCTAAAATTTGTGTTTTAGAAACTGAATTTAAAATCAGTAGGTATTTTAATTTGTTTTTCGTAAAGAAAAAAAATATGATTGTTTTTATTATTAGTAATTATTATCTACTGAAATCATCTTAGCTAGAACTTTTGAAAAATTTTCAGGACTGTAAAAGAGGAGATATCTTTAGACATAAAAAATTTTACCTCACCCATTCCATATGAACAAGCTATTAAAGATCTTGCTCAAGCCACACTTCAGCTTTCACAAGGCATTGAAGCAAAGTACTTAAATTCACCACTTGGTAAGCTGTTTCTTTTTATTTAAAATTTTATGTCCTTTTATTTAATGGTATAAAGTGATTTAAGATTTTTATCAGCATATTTTTTATTGCAAAAAATTGTGTGGTAACTAAGGCTGTAATTTTAAGATTAAAGGTTAAGTTGGTTTAATTATGATTTGCAAATTTATTTCTTACTGTTTGAAATATTTTGTGTTTTCTTTTCCCATAGGGGATAGTGACGATAAAAAGTCAAAGCAAAAAGTATCTGAAGATACTGAATCTCAAAAGAAAAAAAGTATGTAATTTATAATATTTTTGCTGAAAATGATTTTTTATTAGTAATCTTATCTAATTGAATAATATCCTTAAGATTATTGTGCGAGTGTTTATTTATTGATTTTTTTTTTTTGAAAAAAATTATTAGTCTATTCTAGACTCTCAAGCTTTCTGTTCTTATAATTTAAAATTTGTAAGTCTAATTGAGACTAAATTGAATGTGATTAGATATATGTTTCAACCGAACCATTAACTTAATGAATGAATAAAAATTTGTTTTTATCACTTAATAGAGATCCTTATCTACATTTTTATTTGAATCTTTAGTTTTTCAGACAAGCTTTTTTTTAAACTTTTCTTTTAAAAATAACTGAGTAATCACTATTTTTCTAGGTTTACCAATTAAAAAGTCGCCTTTGGAAAGGTGGCAGGAGTCTTTATTGCAATGTAAAAGTCTTTCTCAACTCTATGTTCACTTGGGCACTCTTGAAAGGAGTGTAGCATGGTCTCGATCTGTTCTTAAAGCCCACTGTAGAATTTGCAGGCGACGAGGCGATGGTGAAAACATGCTATTGTGTGATGGGTGTAACAGAGGTCACCATTTATATTGTTTGAAACCTCCCTTAAAGGTACATTTTTTTTCTCCATTATGTATTTACATGCCTGCCAACTCTTTCTATTTCCATGGAATTTCTGCTTCTTCTAAATTTTGGGTTTGTTTTACGATCTTCTAGTCGGAAAAAAATATCTTTCAAAAATTGTTTGCATTTTTTATGCAATATTGATTATTTTAGGTAAGAGAAAGTACATTAAAAAATTTGAATAAAGAAAGGTGTGGTGAAAAAAATTTGCCTTACTAATAGAAAATAGGACCCCTCCCCTTTTCATCCTTTCTTGTCTCATAGAGAATAATTAAAATGAGTCGCTGAAGCTGCCGTGTATGAACTAAGAATGTCTCGTTTCTGCCCGAAATGGATCATTCTGCTTACGTAGCCAAGGAAACAAGTGTAGAAAAAGAAATGCACCGGGTTTACTCACATAGCCATAATAGGTGTTTGTAAGGAGTCTAACCAGTTCTATTTGTTGGTTGAAATTTCGGTGAGGTTCTACCATTTTATAAGATATAAGCAAACAGAGAGAAATCTTGTATCGAGTCAGTGTAACATAATTTACGTTTCAATCTTGTTTCACCTAGCATCGTATCTTGCTTTACCTTGCGTCGTATCGTTTCATCTTGCATCAAATTTGCTAAATGTGTTTTATATTTATAAAACAACAACTTAATTTTGCAATTTGGCTCTTATGTGGAAATGTTTTAATTCATTGAAAGGACTTATTTTAAAATATATTTTCTGTTCAATGTCTTGGTTAAAATTATAAAACAAAGTTTATCAAAGGTTATAAATTAATTCTAGTTTGAAAACTTAAGTTGTGCTCAAAATCATCCTATTTTTGATCTTCAGTCGTCCTAATTGCTATTTTCTGAGGTTGGCAGGTATGGTTTTAAAAAATTATGTATCTAGTTTTTAACTTAAATAAAAGTTTAATTATTTTATTTTTATTGAATTAATGAATTATTTCTTCTGAACATTTCATTATAGTTCTCCCATATATTTTGATATGTAAACTTCTTTGATAGCTATGAGCATGAATAATTCAAACAAAAGAATTGTTGACAAAAATTGAAATTTGTTATTTGCTTTAAATTAAATTTAAATAATATTTTGTTTGTAAAAGCTTTTTGATTTACCTTTTTTTCTTCATATAGTGCTTGTTTCAATAATAATTCTCCCATAGATCAGTTTGATAGGTAATTTTCTTTTTTAACTCTGAGCATAAATAATTGGAGCAAAAAAAAAATCTTTGACTAAGTTTAAATCTCTGCTAATGATTTTCAATTAGATTTAAAGAATGTTAGTTTGTGAAAACTTTTTAATTTACCTTTTTCTCTTTTAATATGCTCATTTCAATTATTATTATTTCAGTTATAGTCTCAAATTAAATTTTATAATGTATATTTTTATTTATATCAAGTTAACATTTAAAAAAATTATTTTTACTCAGGCTATTCCAGAAGGTGATTGGTTTTGCCTTGCTTGTAAACCAGTTGAAAAAATTGCCAGTCCACAGAAAAAATTAAAGAAGGTAGAAAGTGATAGTGAAGAAGAGCAATCAGATGATGATGAAGATGTGTGAGTAAAATCAGACAGTTATTTAAACTTATTTTTTTATGTAGGATATATGTACACGAATTATGTCTTATTTGTCCAATGACCGCTTAAAATCTTAGTTATACATTACAGTAGACTCTAAATTAACTGTGAGCATTGCAGAATCTACATAGGCTCTTTTTTATTATTTTGTGTTGAGATAATTGTAGTGTTTTGAAAATAAATTACCTAATAGTGTGAGTTTTCCAATTAGCTTGGTTTTAAATTGTTGCAATTAGACTTATTTAAATTTAGTAAAGATAAAATAAAAATTTTGAATTTTTGTTAATTGTTTATCCTAAGGCAAACATTAACAATTTTGTTTTACTTTTTGGTTCCTTATTTTATTACTTAAACAGTAAACTACAAGGGTGTGTAGCTTTTTTAAAAAGTGCTTAAAGTGGTTTTGTTTTAATTATCATCGATTTTCGTTTTTTAAAGGTAACGTATGAAAAGGTGCTTTTTTCATTGGATGTTTTTAAAAAGTGCTTAATTTTCCTTTTTCAAAACGAGATATTTCCTTTACCATGTTGATTTTCGCTACGAATTATGCAAAGAGACACAGTTTACATTGTTCTATTCAACATTTTCACAATTCAATCCCACTCTGTTTTGATGTATAGTCAGTCTGCAGCATATGAAAATGTGATTCATTTTACATGATTTAAAATTTCATAATTTTTGACAATTGTCAAAAACAAAGCCAAAAGGTGTTTTTTTTTTTAAAAATTTTTTTAAATTTTTTATTTTTGTCATGACGGTTAAAACAAGATAAAACCTTCAATTGTCAAACTTTCCATCCCTGCCGAATTATGATATTTTTTTAAAATGCTTACAAATTTTTTTTTAGTGCTTGAAAAGCACTTAAAAGGTGCTTATTTTTTGTTTAAAAATTTGATATGCATCCTGAACTATATGGAAGACTTTTGTAACTTCGTGCATATATTTTTATAGGGATGTTATTAAATTTTCTTACAGTTAAATAAAACTCTGTTGTTCAGCGATTTGTATTAATTAAAAAAAAGTGGTATTTATTACCTGAGTCCTTTAAAATTTTATTTTCCATTGAATTACTTTTGTTTTAATTATTAACTATTTTTAACTTTGTTTTTAGTGAAGAGGAAGAAGAAAGTGAAGAAGAAGCCGATGAAAGTGTGGCTGAGAATGAGGCTATTGTGCAAGAATCCTGTGAAAAATGTGGAGATGTTGGCACACTTCTTTGCTGTGATAGGTGTCCTCTTATGTACCATCAAGAATGTGTAAATTTAAAAAGAATCCCTCGTGGAGAATGGTTGTGTCCTAAGTGCACTAAGAAAGAGGAAGCTCTTAAAAAAGCACAGAAACACCGTAAGTGTATGTTTAATTTTGTTTTTATATATTTAAAAAATTTTTTTTTCCAGATAAACATAAGCATGAAATGCTTTATAAGGCTGTAAACCTAGTTAAAACAACTTAATGTTTTATGTATCATATCTTAATGAGCAATATTATTATGAGGTTAACACTGCCTTATTATGATATTATTATATAGTTAATAAATATTGAAATGCAATATTATAAGTCTGTAATCAGGTACAGTGATACCTCGAGATACGAGTTTAATTCATTCCGTAACCTTGCTGTCAATTTGCTCATATCTAAAAGCAATTTTCCCTATTGAAATTAATTGAAATGTCATTAATCTGTTCCAGCCCCAAAAATGCTACTCCCAATTGTTTTTGTTACGTGTTTTTGAATAAGAATAATGTATTTATAAATGACAAAAATTGTATAAAAACATAATAAAAGAGAATGTAAAGCAAAAAAAAAAAAAAAAAAAGTTTTATAAAGTGTGCATACATATTTGTATTTTGTCACTTAAATGCAACTTACAAAACTTAAATGCTACTGTATGCTTAATTTTAGTCACTGCTTTTCTCTTCACTGGTCTTTGCCTTTTTAGCTGGATTAAAAAAAACTGTCCAAGGAGGTTTGTTTTTTCCTCCTTTTCAGAATGCTGCCGAAATGAATTAGGCAAGTGTCATTAAATAGCTCCGATGTGCAACCAGTTGCAACTTTTTCGGGGTGTTTCTTTTCCACGAACTGTGAAATTCTCTCCCATATTCCCAAGAACTCTTTTATCTCACTTGTAGAGATAACCTCCTCCACCTCTGGCTCTTCCTCGAAACCAATTTCTTGCAGAACCCCCGAATGCTGCTGCGATTGTAACTCTTGTGATTCCTCAGACGTTAGTTCCTGAGAGTGCTCCTCGGCGAGCTTGTTCACGTCTCTCTCACCCATCACCAGGTCCACGAATTTTCACAGAAGCATAATCTCCTCCACTGGCACTCCCGTGGGTTCGAATCCTTCGAAGCTACAGTCTCAGCTATCCTACAGACTCACTCAGGCCACAGCTTCTTCCATGCAGAGGTTAAGGTCCTCGTTGTAACACTCAGCCAGGCCTGATCAATAATTCTGAGGCATATTACAATGTTAATGTGATCCTTTCAGTACTCTCGAAGGGTGAGGTTTGTGTTCTCTGTCACCTCAAAGCAGCGCCGTAACAGGTGCTTAGTATACAGCTTTTTAAAATTTGAAATCACCTGCTGATCCATGGGCTGCAGGATAGGAATGGTGTTAGGTGGTAGATAGAGAACCTTTATAAACTTGAACTTTATGAGGCTGTCATCTTCAAGGTGCGGTGGGTGAGCAGGACGAGAAGGACTTTCATGGCCGTTCCTCGTATCTCAAAACAAAAATTCGCTCGTTCGACAGCTCTTATCTCAAATATGTATGTTGGGGCACTTGATCTCGAGGTACCACTGCTCAAACTTAACGTTTGCGCATTGCACAATCGTAAAATCTACTCTCTTGGAAATTCAGCTTTTTTGCCTTTTGGCCAATCTCATCCCTGTATAAGGGGTGAGTTTTTTCAATTTATTGGAAGAGAATTCTGCCTTTTCAAAGGAAGTTTATCTTCCCCATTTCCATTTGTAAACTTTGTAACACTATATGTAACACGCTTTGTAACACGCATCGCGATTTATACTTACATGATTTAAGATCGTGCATTGTGTTATGTGTTTTTATGATTTTATCTCAAAAGTTGCATTTCATGTACAGGGATTCGAAAGCCGGTCGTAGTGTTATGTGTTTTCCTGATTTTGTTTGAAATGTTGCATGTTGTATACACAAGATTAAAAATTCACGACTATGATTCGTGTTAGAGTTAGAAATTATACATCAGATAGGTTTTAAAAACAGAGAAATTCGTATTCACACGGTTTAAAAATTTCGCTTTGAGATTTTAAAATTAAGTATCAATTTGTATCCATGTAACTTAAAATTTACATTGAGATTCATGTGTGCAAAATTTAAATGAATAAATAAAATCTTGCATCAAAACTTTTATTAAAATGTTGATAACATTCTGTGGATAAATGCCTCTTACTTTTTTTTTTCCTTGCTCAAATTTCAAGTATTTTTTTCACTTATTCAAAAAGTGTTTTGACTTTTAAAATTTTTGGATTTCTAAATTCAGCTTTTTTTTTTAGATTTATTACGATCTCATTCCTGATACTCATTACGTATGAATCTAAATAGAGTTTTATAAAATTTTAAAATATTTTTAATGGAGTCTGATTTTCAAACTAATTTCACCAAAATGAGGTGACAATGAAAGGGTTGAAACAAATGAAAAGATTTACTCAATTGCTTGCAGAAAGTTTTTTTTTATTTTATGTTAGCAGAAAGTTTTTTCATTTTTATCTAAATCTGGCTGTAACTGTATACCTAATTTAAACAACTTAATATTCAGGGATGTGATTCTTCCGCGGATCCGCTGATTTCCGCTTTTTTCAGATTTTTCCATATCTTCCGCTCTTTTTTCATAAATTTCCGTGCGGAAGAAATTTTTATGCAGTAAATGATATTTTGTTGGAAATTTTTTTTTTCTGCGGAGCGAAAGTATTGAAGCCCCCAATAAACCTTTCTTCACATGTCAATCTGCTGGCTGGGGTAAAAGTGGTTGACCTTGGTAAAACAATGCCGTCTCCTCCACTACTCTCTTATCTTTTCAGGGATGAAAGACTTTTTAAAATTTCCGACCATGTTTTTAAAACTTTTGAGGAGTCGAACGAACGATATAGTCGGACTTGCGACGAACTCCCCCCTCCCTGCAGTAGCCTCCTGAGAAAATGATCTTCAGAAGAAAATGGGTAGAATTTCGGCATGTACGCCGTTGCCTTGACAACCGCGATTTCCGCTGTAGATTGGAAAAAAGAAAAAAAGTCCTAAGCAGTTTCGTTTCGGCCGCTGATATTTGATTTCTTTTGATTGGCTGATTTGCCGAATTTTAAATATTAGGAACTGGGCCAGAATCTGCTAAAATTGCGATTTTTATTTAGATGATTTTTATGTAAATCATCGATTTTCGTATTTAACTGATTTAAAAGTTACTTGTTGAGATTCGTTTTGATTTAAAAATCATTACTCGCAATTCCCATTCACGCAATTTAAAAATTCAATATCGCGATTTGTATTTAAGCGTTTTTAAAACCCAATATCGCTATTTGTATTTAAATGTTTTTAAAACCCAATATCACGATTCATATTCCCGCTAGTTTAAAATCTAATGTCGCGATTCGTATTCATATATATTTTTAAATTTCAATATTGCGATTCGTTATCACGCGGTTGTAAGGTAAATTAGGTTCCCGCCCCCCCTAAATATGGGTATGCGGGAAACATTTTCATCTTGTCGTCGTGACAGTTTCCCGCACTGCCGGAGGTGGACAGGGAGTACCTGCCACACGCACTGGCCGAGAGGCCCGGCGAAGCCCCTCCGTGGCATTTATTTAAAAACAGGAAAAAAACATAGTACTATTTTGGCAACAGCCCGGAGGTTATCGGCAAAAATACAAAAGTAACAAGTTCCCCTCTAGACTTAAACGTTTTATATGTATAGTTGTGATTATTCCGACTATTAACTATGAGGTGAAATTAAACATCTAAAGTTGATGTTTACAATAAAATATATGAAAAAATCAAGAAAAAAATTTTTTTTTTTCATTTTTCAAGTTAAAGTTTAAAATTTGTCCAACGGACCCTTATAAAAATTTGAAATTTGTGGTTGTAATATCAAAAATCGATTTTCGTATTTATACGCGGTTTAAACATTACTCGTGGCGATAAGTATTCACGGACTCTAAAAATTATGCATCGTGATTCTTATTTACGTGATTTAAAAATTCAATACCGCGATTTGTATTTTTGTGCTTTTAAAATCCAATATCGTGATTCTTATTCACGTGATTTTAAAATTCAATATCGTGACTCTTATTCACGCTATTTTAAAGTTGAACATCGCGATTCTTATTCACGCGATTTTAAAATCAAACATTGTGGTTCTTATTCACGCGATTTTAAAATCCAACATCGCGATTCTTATTCAAGCGATTTTAAAATCCAACATCGCGATTCTTATTCACCCTATTTTAAAATCGAACATCGCGATTCTTATTCAAGCGATTTTAAAATCCAACATCACGATTCTTATTCACCCTACTTTAAAATCGAACATCGTGATTCTTATTCACGCAATCTTGAAATCCAACATCGCTATTTTAAAATCCGGCATCGCGATTCTTATTCACACGATTTTGAAATCCAGCATCGCGATTCTTAATCTAAGGCCTCTAAAAATTGTGTGAGAAATGAACTTTCTTGTCTTATCAACACTGATGATCAAAAGTCTGCAAAACGCAGTCTACAGATCAGTCGTGTTAATAAGAGACCATCGAAAAACCAAAGAACTGATGAGAAAGTCCATAAAGGTCCATCCATTAAAGAAATGTTTTTTAAAATGATGTGATACATAAAATCATGCTAATGCATAATTAATCAAAGTTATCTAAATTATTAAAAAAAAATATTTTAATCAAGATTTTATTTAAGAGCATAATTACCATTTATATATATTTATTTGAATAGATAATGTAATCATTATCAGATTGGCTATTGAATTCATATCATTTTTTCTTTTGCACGTTTAATGTTACAGTTATAAACTTCCTCTTTTTTGTGTTTTTGTCAATCACATCCCTGAATATTTTGTTCAGGTGTAATTTAAAAAAAAAAAATATTTTACATATCTGTATCATATCTTAACAAGTATGCTTTCAAAATTTTTATTATATGCTTAAAAACAAATTCAAATTCATATATTTTATTAATTCATTCCTGAAAAGAAGTCTTTTAACCTTTTTTTTTCTTAGTATCACATTAATGGTAATTCACATTAATCATATAATAGGTAAAAGGCAGTTTAAGTGCCAGGGCTACGTGGGTCACTTTAGACTTCTCGCCATTGGTTGTGCATCCCAGCTACCTAAACTATTTTATTGTAACATTTATTAGCTATAAGTTTTTCAAAATTTAATGTTTATGTATGCATTTTTTATAGCCGCCAGTGGATCATATGGTACAAGGTCTTCCTCTCTAACTTCAGACAATAAAAAGGGAAGCAATCCATTAAAAAATAAACCCATTTCAAAAGGTACAGTATAGTTTAAGAGTGCATGAATTTCTAATGATATATATATATATATATAAATAAGTGAAGTAAAAAATTATTATTTATTATCAGGTACGAAACGAAAATATGAAGATTCCTTTGAAGAGGAATTTGAACCCCCCACTAAAAGGTCAAATAGAGGTATGTAAATTGTTTGTTATTGTGTAGTTTTATAAATAATTGAAATTTTTTGATTGTTTTTTTTTTTTCGTATATTAATGCCAAAAAAACGTTTTCTATTGGAATCTAAAATTTTCTATTAGATTCGTGTTACCAGCTTTTTCATTATTTCTGATCTTTTCCTAAAGCAAAAGTTTTAATTATGGAAGGAAATTAGCTTTCCTCAGCTACTTGCCTGTTTTTAACTTTGGGTTTAATAATTTTTGAGAAATGTTATGTTTGAAATATTTTTGAATTATATTTCATAGCTGCCAAGTGTACAGATTTTATCGGAATGGTTCCGATTTTGGGTCAAATTGTTCCAATTTTTCATCATAGTGTAATTTTTTCTTTTGCTCTATAAAGCGATCCATGTCCGATTAGCGAAATCCAATCAAGTCGCGTTATCACTTAGCTCCGCCTCTAGCTCCATTTGTATATTTGATGACGTGTGTACGGTTTGCTTCACAGACACCAAGAGGAAATTTTAGCTTCCTGACTCCTTGTCGTTTACTTGCAACCGTACCGGTGTTGAATGTTTACTCGTAACGCATCTCTTCGATTTGAGTTTAGCTTTGAATGTTTTTCCACCTGGTAATCTGAAAAAATGTCAAAAATTCTGCGAAGTCATTGTTTTCGCGACAATTATAGTGATGAATTTGATTTCATCAAAAAATCAAGAAAGGAGACATCGTACGCGTTATATATTGCTTGCAATACAGACATTAGTATAGCACATGGCGGAAAGTGTGATATCATTTCACACGGGAAAACAGCCAAATGCTACCGCATATACAAATATGAAAAAGTCGGCAAACATTTCTGATTTTGTGCCGTCCACTATTGATCTACAATCAATTAGAAGCGAACTATTGTCACGGGTGATGTTAGGAATTTTAACATTTCGTCACAGTAATGCAGCCTGTGAAAGACTTTTTGACTGAGTTTAGGGGTAGCATGAATGCGTCTACTTTGCAGGCAATTTTGTTTGCCAAGTCCCAAATGATTCAGCCTTGTTATAGACAAGTGTTTGATGAAAAGTTTTTAAAATCAGCCAAATCTGCCACAACTGTAGCACTTAACAAGAATAATTGATTATTTTTTTACATGTGTTTATTGTCACATATGTTAGAATAATAATAAAATATTTTGTTTTTAAATATGTTTTAAATTACTAAAATTAGCTATCATTTCTGTTTAATTAGAATAATAATCAGAAATCTTGTCAGTTGATATGTATTATAATCAATAATAATTGTTACATTAAATCTTATACAGTTACAATTATACAAACATTTAGTGTCAAGAAGTAAACTTTAATGTCGCGACCACGTGACGTGTTCCTATTTTTTCCCCTGGCAGGTATGATATTTGAATGTGAAATTTTTGTATAAATTAAGATTTTGATATTTGTCATTTCACTTTCGATACAGCTGAAATAAATTTATTACCAATGTTATTTTTTTTAACATGGACTTATTATGAAAACATATATTATTTATTTTAGAAATGTACCTTCTTTAACTAAAACACAACAATTTTTTTTCTTGATTAACATAATTTTTAGACAGTTAAGATTAATTACTTAACAAAAGCTTGTATATCTTAAAGCAGTGGTCCCCAGCCCCTTTGCCACAGACCTGTTCTGGGCTGTATATCAAATGGTACCATGCCACATACGGAACATTAAATTCTTTCCATTTTATTTACCGTGGTGTATTTTTCTCGGGGGTTTGTATGACTTTCTATAGACGAGATTTTAACCTGGAGCTGAGATACGTCATCTAAAGTTGCATCAATACCGAGTTTTCATTTTCTTTTAAAACAGTTTGGATATTTTTAATTCTGTAGAGTTTATGTAGTATTTCAATGCGGAGCTGATGAAATTATTTGATATTTTTAATGCATAGCTGCATTATCATCCAAAGAGAAAAAAAATCAACTGTCCTTTTCTGCATTTATTTCTTAATCCGCTGTAGGTTTGATTGATAAATGACAATCATAAAATTAATTTTGACTTTGCTGCTATAGCTAAGTTTTTATATATACTTTTAATGCGAAAATGATTGCAATTCTATATTGAAAGTTAACATTTTAATTTTTCCAGAGCGAAGGTCTCGTACTGAAAATGCTGACGAAAATGAAAATCCCTTTAGAAAAGTTTATAGAGGTGAGTTGAGATTAAATAATCTTATACTTAAACTAGCTATTGGTATGTTTTTCATAGTATATTGCTTTTAACTTTTTCAGAAGTGAAAATTCAAATAATAAATATTTATGACTAAAGTGGCCTATAAATTTAACTTATGTTGTATCATTTTGTTAGGTGGTAAATTTGGATAACTTTTAATGCTAATTAACTACCAAAATAATGTAATATATCAAATTACAAATTAAAAAATTTAATCTATCAGTGAAGATATGAAAAAATAGTGAATTATTTTATCATTACATTTAAAAGTTATCCTTAATTGTTTTTGTGAACATATAATTTTTTTTTTCGCAGTATGGAAGAATTTTATAACTCATAAATTTAATTTTTTTTTTTTTTTGTGTTTAATATTATTATTAATAGAAATGAGACTTATATTTACTTAAATCAAATTTAGATTTAAATCGTGAAGTTTTTCAAAGTGATTTTTGGTTTAAATTAATTTATATTTGCATATTTGTTAACAACTAAAGCTGATGATTCATTTAAAATTTGATTATGCTTGTAAAAAACAAGTATTTCTGCATTAGTTTCTTTACTGTATGAAGAAACTGTTCAAGAAACTTTCAAGTTTCAATGCTATATATATTATATCAAATAACATTCCTTTAAATTTAATATTTTATATATCCTAAGTTTTATGGCAAGTGTTATCATTTTAAATTAACGGTATGTAAATGAATCTGTAAAATTTTCCTGCTAATTTATTTTACAAAGATTTTGGCATCTGATAAATAAATGCACTGAGAACGTGAAAGCTTAAACTTTAAAACCTTCCTATTATATTTTAGTATAATTTCTTTCCCCTCATGTTTTTCTTTTGAAGAAAATGAAAAATCAGCTTACTGCTAACTTGATCTTATTATTTAGCTTGAATTAAATATTTTTTAATTTAATAGTTCATTTTTTAATTTAATAATTCATTTTTGACTGAAAGTTTTATTTTAAACTTTATTTTAATAATCATAAGTGTTAAGAGAAGTTATCATATTTCTTATGAAAAGTTTTTTTTACTAACTGCTATACTACTATTTTAGTTCAGAAACAAGCCTCTGATTTGACAGTGCAAAGCATTATTTTTACGTGATTAAAAGTAGTTTTGATGAAATGTTCCTACAACTTTCTAATGCATACTATTAAATGTTCTACATTTAATTATTTTACTTTTTAAAATTTTGCTTTTGTATTTGGTAATGTTTTGTACATGAAATAATGAGATGTGTGTATTGTTCATAATTTGATGAGAAAATGTGTTAGTAATTTCCTGCTTTTCATCTATCCCATCCTTATGTGCTTAGTATAGATTAGTCTCAATGTTTCTTTAGAATGCTTTTATTTGCCTGGGGAATTTTTTTGATTTTGCATGTTTGAAGGTTGCTTGTGTGTGGTTATGAAACATCAATAATTATAATTTTTTTAATAAATAGATAAAACTAATTTTCATGTGGCTATTTTATTTTCCCCCTCTGACGTTTTTTTTTTTTTCCTTCTAAAATCATGGAGAACTAATATTTCTTTAATGGAGATCATTAGCTTCTGCTCGTCTTTTGTTCACATGAATTGCAAGCCTGTTCAAATTCATCTCTATCATCTTGCCAATCTGTTGCCCATCAATCATCATCATCCTTTTTTAATGTTTGTACTTCAACATATCTAACAGTATAACTTATGTTACATTGGCACAGATTCGGCTCTAAATGCAGCTCGGCGGAGATCTAAAACTGGAAATGGAGACGGCATGCTGGATTACAAAGCATGTATTGATTTGCTGGCAGAATTGATGCGCCATCCTTCAAGTTGGCCATTCATGGTCCCTGTTAGCAAGAAAGATGTAAGTTTAACTCACATTAAGTCCGATAAATTATTTCAATAGCTTTTCATGGTAAAGTAAATAGCAGTGTTTTGGATCTTTTTATGGAGCTCATGTTTCTCTGTTTGGATTAAATTATTTTTATGCAGACTTTATAAAGATGTGAAAGTGGAAAAAAATGAATTAGTTCTGTTTGAGTGTAAAGTTCTGATTTGTAAAGAAAAAGTATATTTTTAAACGCAATTTATTATAATGCACTTTAACATTCCCTTTCTTTTTATTATTGCATATAAGAAGCTTAAATGCAAAACTCTTATACTGTATAGTTCATGTACTTGCACAAAGGACTTCATAGATCTTCTGTTCTCGAGTGTAACATGTTTAATTCAGTTTTACTTGGTTGGTTTCACAAATTTGTTTTGAAGGAACTAAATGAGAAAAAAAGGCAGTAAGGTTTTCTTCACAAAAGATAACTGATGTTACTTTTTCATCCCGTACACCAATCAAAGTAGCTGCAGGATTGACAGTGAAAATAAATTTAAAATAAATAAAAATTTGAACAAGCCTAATTGTATTGAGCCTCTCATTTTATTAATGAGTTTTGCATTTGCTTAGATATCTTGTCATTGTTTATTAATAAATTGTTTGTAGGAAATTAAGATTGTTATAGTTTATAAAGTTTACTTTACCATTGGGGTTATTTTGCTTACAGGTGTATGAATACTAAAATTTTTGTATTGGTTACAGATATGCTATTGCTGCAGCATATCAGTTATAAGAAATCTTTTTATGATAGTGTTGTATGAGATACTATTTTTAAAAAAAATTAAAATGTAAGAAGAAAATGAAGAATAGTTTGTTTTAAAATGATAACTTGAGAATAATAAAAATCAGTGTTTCTTTTTGAAACTATTTTCAAAGCAATTCAGCTTTGTAGTAATATTTACATGATTTTAATTTCTCACTATTCCTAAACAATGTAATTGTCATATTTATTATTCTTAAATGGCAATATTTGTTTAACACATTGAATGCCACATTAATTTTACATGGCTTGTCCATCTAGCAAAACTGATTTTCTCAGTATGTATTGCATTACTTCAAACCATTTTAGTAAGTAATGATAGTAATATTAAAAAGTTAAAAACATTAAAAATGTACTCGAGTTATGTGTTTCTAATAATCTTGGCTTTCCCGGTGAACAAATTTGGCTCTATGAACAAACTCAGTGCCGGTCCCTGGTGACCCCCATGGCATTCAACGTGTTAATTCCTGATTTCTGCTTAATTAATCTACAGTTGCAATTAGATTAAACACATATTGCTATATCTATTTTTTATAATTTTTTGTGTGCTATCAAATTGCATTATATTTGAAACAATTTAGCCTTCACCTTGACTAAAGAGTACGTTTTTCTAAACCTAAATCAAATTTCACAAATAACATTATATATTTTTCATCTAATTTTCTATAATTTGTATCAATTGGTTATTAACTCCTTGAATATTAAATAAAATTAATATATTTCCTAAATTTAATAATTCGGAGCTTATTGTAAATTGCTTCTGTATCAAATTATGGGAAATTTCCACTCTTCATTGGCAGCCAAATATTTAAGACTGGTGTGTAAATTTTGTCTTATAAAATGTTGCATTCCTAAAGTTTTCAGCTTTCAGTTGAAAAATTTTAAAAGGGAGCAATATTTTCAGACTTTGAGAGGGAGATTAATTAAATGTGTTAATATGTGAGTCACAGGAAGGCTGCTACCTATATCAACACATGTGTCAACTTCTCTGCATGTCTTTGGCACATTGCGTTGGTCTAAAACTCTCGTATTTAGGATATATTATAATTTATTGAAAATAATTAAAGTCGAAATATTAAAAAGCTTAGATAGCAATATTTTTTAATCTAGACTGCAATTATAAGATGTTTAAAAAGTGTGTTTAACTATTTTACTTCTTTTTGAAAAATTATTTCTTTTTGAGTTAGTAGAAACCTATTTCTTCAGGGGCTTTTTTCCCCCCAAGGTTTTTTCCACTGTGGAAGAAACTTGCCAACCCTGGTATAAATATTTAAAATTAGCTGAACAATCAGACCCTGACTTTAATGCCTGTTTAGTAGTAAGCTATTCTTTTTTTTTACTATAAGTTTTGAAATGTTAATTTTTTTATTAACATATGTGATAAAATATTCTTTAAAAAAATGTCTCATCTTTCTTAACTATTTGCTCAATGCTGTTTCTAGGATTCATTGCATTTCTGTTATGAATTGTTTTATGTGGGGTATTACTATTGTGTTAAAAAGAAGAAAAGAAAATTATGAGATGTGATAATTTTTGCATAAGTTAACATGTTTATCTTAGTACAACAATTGATGTATTAAAAAAAATTAAAGGTAAATAGTTAATAATAAAATCTATCAGAATTTAAAAATTGAAAATTTTATAAAAATTAAGGATATGAAGATTTGCGAAATAAATAAATGCACTTAAAAGTGATTTTGTTCTCGTACCTTCGCCCCCTCCCCCTGACTATTCTGTCAACCAAATATTTGTAATGTTCTAACAATTTTTAATTTAAGTTCATTTAAAATAAGTTGTCACACAAACAAATTGGGAAACTTTATTTTAGTCAAGCATGTAAAATAGGTAATTACAAGATTTAAATGCTTGTTTATTTCGTTACTTTCAAATTCTGCCAGCTATATTAAGAAAACAAAAATCTTTTTTCGAAAAAAGTCAAATAATTATTAAAAACTTACAATTTCTAATTTAAAAGTTGTAAAAATTGCATTGTTTTATAATATAAAAAAATAATTTATAGTTTTAACATATATTTTCTTTGTTTCTTTAATACTGGTGGTAGGAAGTGTTAAAAAAAATATTGAAAATATGCTATTGATCAGTTTTTATTTTTATCTTTAAATTTATTTGGCTTAACATAATTTGACATGGAAACCCTAGGAACGTAATGAATAATTTAGTTATAAAATGGAATTACATATAATACATTTTAAACAGAGAGTATATGTTTTTTTTAGAGAATAAATATTTTTCTTGACATCTATGTAATAATCAATATTAGATTTTAAAGTTTGTAGTTACGAGGCTACTTTATTGCATAGTTTTTAAATGGTTCATTAATATATATTAATGTAGATTGGATCAGATTTGGCATCCCATAAATTAATTTCATATCGAGATACAGTGGTAGAAAGTTGAATATATTTAAAATGGTACACCTACAAATCTTTTTTTAGCATATACTTATTAGTAATTTGTTATTAAATGTTTGAAGGGAGGTAAAGGTTGCTTGTTGAAGATTTGTTGTGTGTTTATCAATACTAAACTTAACAGGATTTTTTTCTTTTAAAATAAGAGTGTTCATTGATGATTTGTACTACAAGTGCTACAAAAAGAGTTGTTTTATTTATTTTCTCTTATGAATTATTTTATATATTTTGTATTATGAATTATTTCTTATGAATTATTTTTTAACAGGCTCCAGATTACCATCTAATAATAAAAAGGCCTATGGACTTCGGAACAATACGATCAAAGCTTAACTACATGGAGTACAAAAATAATGAAGACTTTGTGCGTGATATTTATCTTGTTTTGCAAAACTGTGAGTGGTTCAATCCGAAAGGAAGTGATGAAGCCAAAGCTGCACAAATACTGTACAAAGAAGTGAAAAAACTTTTAGACGAATACGAGTTAGATAATCCTTATGCTTCTTACAAACAAATTCCCAATGTAAATGATGACGAAGAAGATGATGATGAAAATGAGGATGAAAATGAGGATGATGATGAAAATGAGGATGATGAAGAAAATGAGGATGATGAAGAAAATGAGGATGAGGAGGATTAAACTGTATTATATATCTATTTATGTAATTTAGAATGAATATATCTTGCTATTTAGACTTAATGTTGCACGTCAATTTATGTTTGTCCACATGTCCCAGCATTTTAAAATTTAGTAATATCTTTCCTTTCAATCATCATGATTTCTGCTCTTAGAGCTGTGTTGTGTGATATAAATTGTTAATTGTTTGGAAGCATGTTCGCTCCATGCAATCCCAGTAAACCTAAGTATTGATTTTAGTTTTATAAATGCTATTTATTATATCATTCACATGAATTATTCAATACTTATGTTGACCTTATCATAATTTTTTATTTTACTCATCCTTTCCTTCTGAATCTGGAGGTTGAATTAGATTCAATGGTGTATTATATTATTTATAAATTAAAATATCACAAATAAATTGTTACATAAAAAGTTGTGTTGTTTATTTTTATTGACTTACGACGCATATCTGCTTCACTGTCAAGTCTCCTGAATTTACCAATAGACTACTGGATTTTTGCCATTTTTCCTGGTCTAAAAAGTGTCATCGTTTCCGTACATTTTAGAATAATCAGTAAAATTAAGTAACTTTTCTAAAAGAAAATTTCCCATTGAATTAGAATTTTTACACTGATAAATAAGTATTAGCAATTAATTAAAATTAATTAATTTTAGATAAGTATTACCAATACAAAATGAATTGCTATTAGTACAAAGCTTTCATTTATTATTTTTTAAAATTTCAGTTTATTTTTATTTAGATAGAAATTTTGCAGACCATTTAAAGTTAGTGTAATAAAGTTCTTGTATTTTGAGAACAATGAAATTCCCTAAATGTGATATATTAAGTATATTATGGACAGTTGATATGAAATTTATATTTCATAAGATCTATTGGATTTTTTTTTATGCTGGCATTTTAGTATATGTTTAAAAAAAAAAATTTTACTTTTAAGCCTACTCTCAACTTTATATCAAGCACAAATTTCTAGCAATTTACTTTTTTTAATAATGAACTTGGTAAAGGCAATTAAATGGCTTTTTTTTTTCATTTATGGCATGAAGTTAAGTTATTGAGTATGTATGATCTATTTTCAGAAAGTGGATAGGTAACAAACTGCAAAAATGGGCAATTTTTATTTCTTAATTGATTAAAGGAATGTAAAATTTGATTTTTGTAGAATTGGTTGATTTTAGAATTGAAGAAATATTCACGTTTCTAAAAAATTATTGCGTGTTGAATGTTTACCTAATATTGATTTAATTGTGTATTGTCAAGGTGTAGTTTTGTGCATAAAATTAAAGTTTTGAAACTGTTATAGCCAGTTATAAATTTGCTAATAGATTCATTACAAATCCTTTTGTAACTGTTCCGTGTTCAAATCAATATCAAGGTAGGTTCAGTGGTTTTATATCAATAGTTCAAAATAATTCATCGGCGAAATCAAATCAAATATAACGAAACAAATATTTAATAACGAAAAAAGAATTAATACAACTTAACACTTCCGTGTCTACATGTTCACTGCTTGTTGATGCGCTCACAGCGCCCTCTCAGTAGGGAGGTTTTACCATTCTCCCCACTTAAATTTCGATGAAATTTACCTATCAAATAATTAAACAATAATTAAAAATTAATTCACAATACATCAAATTTTCTGAATAAAAACGTTTAAATCTGACTTTATCTAAAGTGTTGAATTTTAAAATTAGCAAATTAAATGAAATTAAAGTTCAAATTGAATTTTTTGAATGATGAAATTGTAGATCTTTTGTCTGAAGACACAATTTCTGAAGATGTTGAAACTTCTGAAGAAATCCAAGAAAAAATAATTTTTTGGAAGACTAAACTTTCTTTAAAAATAAAGAAAATGAATTCTATCCCAGCTGATACAGTTTCAAATACCTCTGAAACAAATGATTCAAATAATTCTGAATGCATGAACATAAATCTACCTAAATTAAATATAAATAAATATGCGGGATGGTTAGATTTTTACAATTTATTTGAAAGTTGTATTCATAATAATGTAAAATTAAGCAAAGTTGATAAATTTAATTATTTGAAATCGTATTTATGTGGAAATGCTCTTGCATGCATTAACGGATTTGCAATTTCTGATGAGAATTACGATAAAGCCCTAGATTTATTAAAGGATAGATTTGGGAACAAAAACATGTTAATCAACGCTCATTTGAGTGATTTATTAAATTTATCGCCTGTCAAAAATCCTAATGATGTTAT